TCTTTTCGTGCCTGACCTTTGCCTCCTTTTGCTTCCACTGTCCAATATAAAAGCAGTGGACTTCTACTGTCAGAATGACAGCCTTGTAAATCTCCTCAAGGCTGTTTTATTTTCATAGCAATTATTATCAGTTGTTTATGCTGTTGTTTTTTGGCAGTATGCCAAGTGTAAGCCGCACTCGCCTTGTATCTTTTAATGTAGGCTAGAGGCAAGATGTCAACTTTTTTTTTACCTCAGACCCTTAACTGTTCATATATACATGGCCTAATCTCACATCAGATGCTAATATTTATGCATTTACATAACCCTTCCTACCTGTAAAACTTCAGCCTCATGGTTTTATTGATGCTGCACAACCCTTCCTTCTTTGTGGTCTCTGTGCATCACACATATGGACTATGTGCCTGTGTGTGCCCAGTTCACAGCTTCCGTGGATGCGGCTTCCTTTTTTTGCTTGGGAGTGAGTGGGTCTTACCACCAAGTGAGCCTACGCAGGATTGCAGCGTCACTGCCTAGTGGGGCAGTCTTGAGCACATGCAGTTGAGGACCAATTTAGATTGGTTAGAAACCACTGTAAGTTAACCTTGTAGTAAACGAAACAAAACGTTGGAATCTGGATGCATCTTCCTCGCTGATACATTTTCCTGTTGGTGCAGGGAGGACTCCACAAAGTCTGTCTGTTTCTGGTCTTGTCCTAACTCTTGTGTTTCAATTTTTGACGTTCCAAATTTTATGCTCAGGGAACCCCTCCTAAAGGAACAACTTCATTTCAGATTTGTTATTGGTTTTAATTTTGATTTTGGTCAGAAATCGCCTCTCACTTTTCTTTTAAAAACAGATTTCCGGCTTCGCTTGCTATGGAAAAATGTTGAGGAACATAACTTACATTTTTTCTGACCTCTGTTTTCCATCCTTTTTCTCTAGCATTGCCCTCTTGCCAAAACATCCACATTATCTGAACACCCACAGTATAAAGTGATCTAATTTGTATTTTCTTAGACTATAAAAATAGTGTGGAATGTAGGTTTGGGGAGCCAAGGAACGTCTTATGATATACAGCGTTATACTTTTTAAAATCAAGGAAGTACAGGTTATCGTGAGGTACTCTTTCAGTGGTGCATACTGGAGAACAGCTTTGCTTCCTGCGAAGATCTGGTAGTGATTGCCTTTCTCCTGTTATGGTGTCACTGTTGTTTATCCCATTACTATTTCTCTAGCCTCCCACAGCAATGTGGAACAGATCCTTAGTCACTTGGGATCCTTATAAATAAGTTAACTCACAATGGTGCTAGAGCTTGAGCCAGATGAAGGAGCCAAAGTGCAACTGTTGTGGGAATTTTCCAAACCATTTTCCTATTTTCCAGTCTGCTTGGCTGAAAATCTTGCCATATGGGATGTAGCAGAAGTTAGTCCTCAGCTGGCCTGTCTAAATGCTAACCATTTTTCCTTGCACTGTTATCTCCTACCCTGTATTCCTCCTGTGCCTGTATCCCTACCTTCTGCCTGCTCAACCCTGTACCTTTCAGCTCACATCAGTGTTGTGCATTGTTTTCTTGCTTGTCAGTCAAGTTAACCTGTCGTCACCATTCATTCATTCTTTCTCTTTTCATGTGGGTCCGATGCATGTGCAGTACCAAAGCTGTGGCAGTGTTTCCTGGGTGGCCTACGCCTCTGCCCATTTTAGATGCATTGCTGTATCTTGAGTGAATGCTTGAGTGAACATTACAAGCTCCTTTTGCCTGTGCTCCATCCCCAGTTATTGAGGGCATATGCATCTCTACTTTTTATGTCTGAATTTGGGGACCATAGCTAGGGAATTCCAGTCTGGGGACTGTTCTTCCCAACCCCCTTTACATTCTTGAACAAGAAAAGAGTCTCTCATTTTGACGGTCTCAAAACAGGGCAATCAAGTAGAAATCTGCTTCACCCAGAGTAGTATTGAGGGAGCCCCTTCTTTCATCTGACAAGGGGATGATTCAGGGAGGCAAATCTTTGTGGGAAAAAAAGTGAAGGAAGGTCAAGGTATTTCGTTTGAGGCTACATATGTTCCGTCTTGTTGCCCCCGCCTCCACCCCAACCCACCTTGAAGATCCAGGGTGAGCTGAATTTCCCTCTTTGCTGCCTTTATGGTGCTCATGGCATCCTGTACTGTCCATGATGGGAGCTGAGCTGGGGCTGCTCTAGTGCCTAGGGTTGGAATAAATGCGAGTTAGTTCCACTCAGTGATCCTGAACTGCTGGCAAGTGCGGGAGACAGGCGCTTTCTATTTAAAGCACAGCACAGAGGGCAGGTTATAAAAAGGAAATCTGCTCTGCGGACAGCAGCCAAAGGAGAGGGAAGCAGGCACGGCAGGAATGGGGAGGTGTTGTGGCTTGGGCCTCCCTCCCCCGCTTCTCTGTTGGTGGTATGGCAGAGAAATAACCTGCTGGAATCCTTCCACCCCCCCCCCCCCGGCCCCCTCCTAGGGTTCCCAGTATGGTTAGAGTGCCTTCTAAATAGAACATTAATAAACAGTGTGATCTTGCAGAAAGGGCAACCGCCTTTCTGGGCTGGATTAACTGAAGCACTGTATATCAAAGACAGGGCAGTGGTTTCTTTCAGCATAACATTATCAGCTGCAGATTAATGCAAAATAGTTTACCTTGCAAACACAGTTGGCCAGTGGATCTAGACTTTTCATGGAGACATGCAAATTGTTAACCCAGCTCCCTGTCCTGGCTGTTTAAAACCAGGAGGAGAAGCTAGGATATCTCTTCCTTGAAGGGGCTCAGAGGAAAGCCCAGCTGCCCTCCAGGATGAAAGAGTCTGGAAAGATGCTCGCTTTTCAAGCTCTGAGAGAGGCTGAGCATTTCATGAAACAGTTGGTCTTAACAGGTAGCACATTATACCTCTGAAATAAAGTCTGACAAGAGCTTGAACTCCCTGGTCCCCTGCAGTTCTCTGATGGATCTCTGAGACTGAACACAGTGGTAAAAAGCTGTTTAAATGAAAACAGTACTTATGCCACTGTGGTAATATAAAAATGTCAGCTGAATCAGGAATGGTTCCCTGTAATCTTTCCTCATCTTGCTGATCATTTTTCCCAATTTGCAAGATCCTTTCAGAATTCCAGATTTCATTTTCTCTCTGTATTTATGAATATTGGGGAGCTGCTCGGTGTTTTATGTGGTGGTAGGGATATCTTGAGGGGGCACCCTAGGCATGAATATGAAATATGAATTCTCCTGGTTCCCATTTCATATCTGTCTGTCACTCTGTCTGTGGATCTGTCCGACTTCAGGGTGCAGAAGGAAGTAGTCTAACTGTTGATACTCCTACTAGGAGAACCTTATGCATATAGTACTAATTTAGAACTAAACCATGTGACAAAATAGGGGCTAGAGATAGAGCATTTATTGAGGGTGGAGGCTTTCAGTGGCAACTAACCTTGCAGGCTGGGTGTGTCCTCCTTCACTAGAGGTGGCATGCCTACATGCACCAGTTGCTGAGGTGCTTGGGCAGGAAGAGGTCTTGCACCCGTCGTGCTTGAGGGATCCTGTGGGCGGCTGGTCTGCCGCCATGTGTGCTGGACTAGATGAACCTTGGGTCTGATCCAGCATGGCATTTTATGATATTTCCAGCAGAAACTGTCCCAGCAAAATTAGGTTAAGTTCTCCATGTAAATGCACCCTCCATATCACTATTAAGAGGGATGTGAAACATGTGGAGATTTGCAAACACCACACTCCATGCTTCTGCTGCCTTATTTAGTGAGTCTGCCTAGACTGATGGATTCCAGGGAACAAAACATTACCACAAATAAGTTACATATTTGGGAAACTCTCTTTAAGCTTAAATCTTATTGCTTGGCTCTGTTGCTAGAGGAGGAGTGCAGTTGCTTTTAGACTGGGATTCTTTGAATATCAGTAATTGCCTGGTAATAGAGAGACTTACCAAGCTTTTCCATTGAGAAGAAAATGTGGCACACAAACTCTCCACTCCTTGGCCTATTTGCTACTTAGTCCTCACTGCCATGGCTTCTCTTCCTCCCCTAAGCTGCCTTTGTTCATCTGCTCTTTTAGCAGACTGACCTTTGGCCTCTCAAAAGGTGGAGCTGGGAGCTGGAGGACCGTGTGGTCAGCAGCCAGCATTGTTAGTTCCAGGCCAGGTTTCCATTATCTTAAATACTGGGATCTTGAGTCAGGTTGCTTGTGCCATCTTTTGTAGATGGGCCCGACTAGTCACTGTTGATTTGGTGCTCCACATTTCTCCAGTGACAGGAGGGTCCCCTGTGTGGGTTTCTGCAAGCATGAGTTATTCATTCATGTTTTGTTTTGTTTTTTAAATATTATATATGTATGTCATATGCACTGTTTAATAACCACAAGGGTGAATTAATCCTGGGATGTATGAAGTGTATGATTGTGTGTGAGAGAGGATTTTCATGAGTACTGTTGCTTAGCTGCAGTTTGCATGAGAACTCTCACATGGTGAACTCTTGTCCATTTCTTTTTGAAGAAGCAATTTTCTAATGTATAGGATTACCCAGGTCTATTGGGTTCATTTCTGCTAAATGGGATGCCGCCCAGAAGTTTTGCATATCAGTCACTACAGCTTTTTTCAGTTAGTTTAAATGGCTATTTGCTTTTGCTGTTGTTTTCTATAGTACTATTCCATATATATAGTGCTACTTCATAATAAAATACCATACAGAAAACTCTACAAGCAAAGTGAGACTCCTGGTTTCAGTCACTGTTTGTCTGAGTTCACTAATTGAAAAGCATCTGTATTAACTTTTCCAAATCTCAAAGTACCTTTCAACAAAAGGAATAATACTGCAGTTTAAAATAACATCTCAAGAAGTTTAAAGTAAGCTTCACAGAATTTTTAGCAGCTTGATCCAGTTTTTCTGGCATGCCCAAATAGCACATAGTTCATCAAAGCAGCCCCAAGCAAAGTCTTGGGAGTTACCTGCTGATCACAAATTCCTGTTCTGAGTTGCCATCTTTTCTGTCTTTCAGGCCACCTGCAGAGCCTCTGCCGTGAGCATCATGGCCATAGTGCAGACCCTGCCTGTTTCCATTGAATCTGCCTCTGAAGGGGCTGCTCACCTCCACAACAGTGCCTCCTCATCCCCCGTAGCCATGGGCAGTGTGAGCAGTCTCATCTCAGGCCGGCCTTGTCACAAAGCCACTAGTGAGTTTGGCTCTTTCCGCCTGCCTGGTGGGGCTGGCTCCCAAGAGGCCCTGTGCCATGGACTTCCCACTAAGAAGAACAGCTACACCTACGCAAATGACGAGGACTGGGCCGAAGCCATATCTCCCATCAGCCCCTGCAGTGATGCGGAGGACATGCAGGATGACAAGCTGCGGGTTGGCACGATCCGTGGACCACCCCCAAAGTTGGTGCCTGTCTCAGGAAAACTTGAGAAGGTAAGAAAAGAGGATTGGCTCTTTGTTAGTCTAGATCAAGGGCGCTGAACCTCTTTCAGGCCAAGGGCTAAATTCCATTTTGGAGAAGTTCTCACAGAAAGCATTCTTGTGGTGGGTGGGACCAAACACAAAACAGATTGGCCAAAATACAAAAGGTACCAGCCTTTCTGGCTTAAGGCTATTACTGCCAGTAACTAAGCCATTTAGAATGGGGGTAGGGAACTGCAGAACATGGTGGTTAGAGGAAAGGGGGTGTGATCATCTCATGAATCCTAGGGGGCCAGATGTGGTTTGTGGGCCTGACATTCTCAATCCCTGATCCAGACAGTGAATGCTAATTTAATCCTACAGTAGTTCACTAGTTCCCATTGTTGAGCTCTTTCCTAGTGCTGCTGTCGCTTGAATTTAGGGCTGAATGAAAATATCCTTCCAAAATTCTCCATGTTGTTTATAGGAGAGTGATTGGAGACTGGGGTAGGAGTTTCACTGAATATTCAAGGAGTGAGGTGGTGGTGAAATTCTCCAATAATTTGGGTGGGGACAAATTTCTTCTGAGAAATGTTCAGCTTACTTAATGATAATGAAGATCCTTGTTCGGTTATAATAGAGAATGAGGAAAAGAATGGAATGAGAAAGCAGGACAGGAAGGAGCAGGGGCCAAGTCCATTGTTTCCTCCAACAATTTAAAAAGTATTTAAACAATATTAAAACTAGATTCACAGTTGTACCTGAAATTAACAGAGAGGGAAATTGGGAGAGGCTATTTTGCCTAATATTTTCCAGGGCAGGATAGAAGTTTTTCCCAGCAATTCAGAATGTGCTTGGAAAAGAAAATAGTCCAAACATCAGAATATTTTCTACTGAAAAATTTCAGCTCGTTAATGAAGCTGCGCACTGAAAATAGGCAGTTTGCCTTCTCAGAACAAATAAATCTCCCTCTCCTCCCAACAGGGTGTATGCTAAGGTAAAGCTCCAGGAGGCCTTGCCATTGTATTGCCTTGACTAAAAGTGTGTTCCTGTTCCATTTGTCTCTGTTCTAGGTGTGATAGTGGCATAGGCTTCTCCCTAGCCTGGGAAACTGTTGCGATAGTGGAAAAGGCGGGAGGAGCTGTGTCCCCAAGTGAAATTCTGAAAGAGCCTAGTTGAAGATAAACAAGCCCCTGTTTCCTTACCCATAGCATGTAGCGACTGTGCTTGGCTAAGGCTGTGTGGGACTCTGCACATGTACTAACCACCACTCTTCACCTATGCAGCTGCATGCAGTCCTCAGCTTAATTTCATGTCTTCCACATGCAGTCCATTCAAACAGCTGGCAAGAGTGATCTGTCTCTTTCCTGCTTGGCAGGATTAAAGAAGGGGAGAGAGAAGTGGATGGCAGAAAGAGAGAGAAAAGGGGTGACTTGTTCATTCTTGGACCTGGCCCTGTGTCCTGCTTACATGCAGCCCCTGACAGATTACTTATGAGGGCATGTGACCCTCGACAAAAAAAAGGTTGCGCAGCTCAAGGCTAAAGGTTACAAACATGCGATAAGGGGAGAATGTTTCCTGTCCATTGGTCTTCTGTCCAGCACCGAGCCTTGGCCTTGCAGTCCTGTGTCTCTGTATTCTTTTCCAGAACATGGAGAAGATGCTAATCCGCCCGACAGCCTTCAAGCCAGTCATGCCCAAGAACCGCAACCCCCAACTGCAGGGCCACTTGGCGCTGCGGCCTGGCAACTCGATGCTCTCCGAGAGCCAAGCTAGCCTTGCTCAGCTCTTTGGTGGTCCCCCTGCAGGCAGCATGGAGAAGCACAGTTCCCTGAGCTGCCACACGAGCTCCCACTCAGGAACAATGTCAGACTCTGGCCGCAACTCGCTCTCCAGCCTGCCCACATACAGTACTGGCTGCAGCCAGCAAATGGAGCCAGTTAACATCTCAGTGGGTCACATCAACCTTGACAGCCATGGCAGCAGCAGTTCCCGGGGCCTCACTGGCCCATCAAACTCAGACAGTGGGAGGTCCTCATCGAGCAAGAGCACGGGCTCCCTGAGCGGCCGTGGGCACCATTCCTCAGACAGTGGCTCCTGTGGTGGGCGCTCCCCAGTGCACAGTGGTGTTGAGGAAGCCCTCCTTGTGCACGAACTTGAGGAAAAGCTTCGGGAGCGTGAAGCTGAGCTGCAGCATCTGAGGGAGAGCTTGGATGAGAATGAGGTGGCCATATGCCAGGTAAGCACCACGAGTGCCCATGTGCGCCTCCAGATGAAGACAGAGCAGGGCAAGTGCCTGTGTTTCCTACAAGGGGAAGCGTTTTGGTTGGTTGGTTTGGTTGTCAGACTGCTTCTACTATGGGGCTGCCCTTGGTGGTGGTTTGGACAGTTTCACTAGGGTAGCTTTCATGTGGCGGCTGGTATAGGGTAGAAGCTGAAAGTTTTAAATCCAGTAATGTACAATAGTCTGAGCTCCTGTTGGGCCCTTGAAGGCTAAATGCAGTGCTTTTCCTGTCTGCTGCACCTGTGTCTTCTGCGCAGAGAGCGGTGGACTACAGAAAGGGATGCTGATGTTGAGTAGGCTGAGAGCATTGCATGTCAGGAGCTTTTAGTGGCAGAGCTCGTTTTCAGTGTTGGTTGGCCATTCCATTTTTGAAACTTTGCATGCTCTGGTTTTCACAATTCCCATGACAGCTTCTCTCACTTCTTCCTTTTCCTGCTGTTCTATATAAAAACAAGTAACTATTACAGATTACATAATGCTATTAAAAGAACATTGTTGCTCATGTCATCCCCATACAAATTTTTCAGTCTGTCAACTTGCTCTTTCCTCAAGATTTTCCTGGAAACTAGCTTCTAGTTTTGAAGGAGCCTAATGACTCCTTCAGATAATTCTGAGTAGCCACAAGTTTGTGGTATTCGACTCTGTATGCTGAGATCCTGTGTAGCAGTGTATCATTGTATCCCCTCCATGCTGACTAATAGATTCATCAGTGCTCATATGCACATAAGAAGAGTCCTGTTGTAGCAGACAAAAGGCCTCTCAGATAGCATGCTAGACTAGATAGACCCTATTTTGCACAGTGACCAGATGCCTCTGGGAAACCCCACAAGCAAGACTGGAAGACAACAGCACTCTCCTGTTCGTGTTCCTCAGCAACTGGTATACAAAAACATACTGCCTCAGACTCTGGAAGTAATATATCACCATCATGTCTAGTAGCCATTGATAACATTATCTTCCATGTCTAATCCTCTTTTAAAGCTGTCCAAATCGGTGGCCTTCACCACATCCCGTGGAAGCAAATATGTGCTGCATGACGAAGTACTTTCTTTTGTCCTGCCACTGTTCAGCTTCATTGGATGACACATGGTTCTAGTATGATGAAGGGGAAAAACCTCTTACTATTCATTTCTCCACGCCACACATAATTTTATACATCTCTATTCAGTTCCTTCTTACTTGCTTTTTTCCCAGTCTAAAAAGTCCTCAAAATTGCAGCTTTTCCTTACAGGGGACATGGCTCCAGCTCCCTGATCATCTGAGTTGCTCTCCTGAAATATAATCTGAAACGAGCACACATTTTTAAGTGCTCATTTCCTTTGTTCATGTCCTCCATATTTTCCAGCTGTGATCTTCCCAGTCCCCAACAATTTCTGTGGCCTTCGCTGAAATAACCTCTTAGCCTTTCTTTTCTGCTTTAGCATTTATGTTGCAGCCCCTGCACTGACAGCCAATTCTTGTCCTGCAATCTTTGTGCTGTAGAATCCTGGAATGTAGAGCAGTATCTCATGAGCTTTGCAGGAGAATATAGCTACTTTCCCAGCTGCTTTGCTACGTGAAGTAATAGGGAAAAATCCGTAAACTTCCTATCCTCAAAAGACAGAAGGGACAAATCTACAGCAAGCCCTGGCACTCTCCAGATGTGTTGGAACTACACCTTCCAGCTTGATTACAGGGGGATGCTGGGGGTTGTAGTCTAACTCATCTTGAAAGTGCAAGGGGGTGGGAAACTGTTTTGGGGCAATACTCAGTAGGCACAGTCTGCCAAGATGGGATGCCATCAAGACACAGCTGCATGATGTTAGTTGTGTACCAGGCTTCAGCCCATTGGGACCTGAGCCAGTGTCTTTTCTCTCCCTTCCCTCTTCCTTTCAGGTGTATGAGGAAAAGCAGAGGCGCTGTGAAGAAGAGATGGAAGAGCTGCGGCAGGGCTACAGCGCCAAGCTGCAGCAGTCAGCGCAGAAGGCCCAGCGCAGCCAGCAGGTGCTGCAGCTCCAGATCTTTCAGCTGCAACAGGAGAAGAAGAAGCTGCAGGAAGATTTTGCCCAGCTGTTGGCTGAGCGTGAGCTGCTGGAGAAACGCTGTGCTTCCTTTGAGAGAGAGCACACAGAGCTGGGGCCCCGGTTGGAAGAGACCAAATGGGAGGTGAGCTGGGCAGAGGGGAACTGGGGCTGGCTTTGTTGCTCGCTTCACAGGGAATTTGAAAGCCACGTGGCTATAAGGCCTGCACCACCAGAACAGAAAAGTGTCCACTAGAGCTTCAGAAATTCCAGTTCCCCCTTTCCTTCATTCTCCTTAAAAGTAGTAATGTGAACTGGCCTTCTACCTAGCCTTTTGTTTGTGTACAGGAGTTGCCCCTCTCTCATCATGAACATTTTTTTTTTGGCTCAAATAGATGGCAATCTAGAGCAATCTTCTACAGCCTGGTGCCCTCCAGATGTTTTGGACTTCAGTTTCCAGCATTCCTGACCACTACCTGGGGTGAAGGAGTTAAAAGTCCAAAACATTTGAATGGTTGGCAAAAGGTACCTTAGAGGGCTTTTGCAATAGGTTCTTGGAAATAATCTCTGCCAGCCATGTTTGGGTCCCTTTCACATTTTTGAAATGTACACACTTTGGGGTATTGTTCTGGTACCACTTGAAAAGATGACAGTGTGAGTTTATTGGGCTCTTCAATGCCCCTCTCAACCTGGTCCCTGAATGTACTTGTGGTCTCATTGGTTCCACCTCCCTTTTTTCACTTGAGTTGGAGGACAGCAGCAGGCAGTCCTCCCACTCTTCTCATTGAATGTAGGTCTTAGCTCTACAGAATTAAAAACAGGCTTCTCCAATTTCACCTCAGTCAAGTGACGCATTTGGTTCTCTCCCTCCAGGTGTGCCAGAAGTCAGGTGAAATCTCACTACTAAAACAGCAGCTGAAGGAGTCCCAGTCAGAGGTGTCTCAGCGGGGCAATGAGCTGGTGCTGCTGAGGGCCCAGTTGAGAGAAGCACGGGCTGAGGTGCAGGCTAGTGAAGAGCAGGCACTGAGCCTGCAGGAGGTGGCCCGCACCAAGGCCTTGGAGCTAGAGGTTTGTGCCAATGAGCTGGCTAGGCGCAAGAGTGAGGCAGAGCTGCTGCGAGAGAAAGTGGGACGTTTGGAGCATGAATTGGATGGACTGCGCAATGCAAGCGGAGAACTCTGCCCACTGCTGGCGGAGTGTGATGAGGCTAAAGCCCAGCGGCAGGCGGCAGATACCCTTCAGGGCTTACGCGCCCAGGCTGAACGGCTGCGCACAGAATTGCTGTGTGAGCGACGGCGTGGCGAGGAGCAACGGGAGGCTTTCCATGCTGAGCGCATCATTTGGCAGAGCGAAAAGGACAGGGTCATCCGCTATCAGAAGCAGCTGCAGCATAATTATATCCAGATGTACCGGCACAATCGTGACTTGGAATGCCAGCTGCGCCATCTCAGCCTTGAACTTGAAGCCCGAGACATGGATGAGTATGAGATGCACGGGGGTGAAAGCATCTGCTTTGAGGAGATTGCCGCAACTGAAATCTGAGCATACCTGGTGGAAGCCTTAGTGAACAGGCCACACTGCCGCAAAGAGCTGCTGGCCTCTTAGATTGGAGCACGCTCACTGGGGCATCCGTGTGTCTTCAGCAGATGAGAAGAGAGTGAGCCTGGGTCCCGTGGTGGAGGGAGCTACCTACTGTAAAGTGCAGTCCTGAATCCCAGGGGTAGCACTTGTCTTGTCACTTAACATGGTTGGGGAGCCGGTATGAGGACTCCTCCCCTCACCAGCTCAACAGATTTCACTGCCATTGAGATTAGACTGGGGCCTGAAGCTGAGAAGCTTGGGCTTTCTCCTTAGGGGTGGAGGGGCTGACTAAGGATTTCCACATGTGCATTCCAGACCTGCCCTGGAGAAAGGAGAGACCACCCTGTTTAATCCCTTCCTTGGAAAGCAGCAGCAGCAACTCCTGTTCCACCTTTGCTCTGCTTGCTCTGAGAAGTGGCTCTTAACTACCGTTTCACTCCAAGTCCCAGCACTGCTCAGCCTCCTGCAAGAGGCTGGCTGTTGTGAAAATGATCACCACTATCTGCTCTCCAGTTGTATGGGCTGTGGATGTGCTGTGGACAGGATGGCCAAAGAGTTTCTGTTCGTATTCTTTTCTTCAGTTACCTTTACTAAGTGACCCAGTTGGCCTCCAGGCACCAGTGGCTGGAAATTAGGCTATGGTGGCTGTGCTAACAGCCTATTAGCTGCTGATCCACTTAGTTGAATTAGCTTCGCCTGTTTTTAGGCTGGTGGAGAAGCTTTTTTTTTTTTAATAGGATGCTCTTCCTTGACCTTTTGGCCCAGTCCTTTGCTGTATATACTTTGCATTAAGTCCATCTTTTTTAAAGGCGCACACACACAATCAAATTTCTGTGCCAAGAAAAACTGAATTCTGTAACTCTTAAAAATTATAGAATGAAACAACTCTGCATATATTTGCTTTGCAGGGCACTGAAGCATCACCCCTTTATCACTGGAAGATTTATTTGCCCTCTCTGACATTTCCTGAGTTAACTTTTGTAGCCAGAAAGGCATGAAACAATCCTAAGCAGACCAACACTAAATCTCAGGATGCTTGAATTGTGGCCCCAAATCTGAGCATTTTCTGTGCTTCTGTGTAAGGGTTGAATATAGGCGGCCCTGACAGCCTCGCCAAAAGCATCATGAGAAGACACTGTGAAGGAAAAGCCTGGCATGGCTCTGAGCTCTGAAAGCAAAGACCTAATAGTCCTCATTGTCCTCCCAAAAAGCCCAGACGCCCCTTACCTTGCAGTGAGGCCCATTCAACTTAATGGGATCTGCTGCTGAGTAGACATGCACAGGATTGCTCTGTAAAAAGCCAGCCTTGCACATGCATCTGCTTGGCTGTGGGCTGCATTCTGCTGTGATCCTACCTAAGAGGGGGACCTATACAGCTTGATGAGGAGAGTCTGTCTCTGGCAGCTCATTGATAACGTCTGTCTCTGCACCCTGAGGGTATCTAGATTTTTGCTTGTTTGCAGCATTCCAAAATTATTATTTTTGTAGTACCTCCCCAAACATTTGAACTCCACCCTGATTGCCCAGGTTGTTTCCTGGAAGCTAAGAAGGATGCTTCTGTCCTTCAGATATTGCCAGAGTTACCCATCTATTCCAGAGACTTCTGCTGGCTCTAGCCGGCCAGGCCTACCTCTGCCCTCTTCCCCGGGGACTCCCTGTTGCAAGAGGATCTGGTGTGTTGTTCCCTTCCCTTTTTTGCCTTTGTTGCTCCTGGCTGGCAACCTACAGATTTGAGAGTGCCTTTCCCTTGGCCTTGCTGCCTGGGTCTGTACTGCTAACCCTCTTCCAGCACGTGCTCTTCTGCCCAGCTGCATCTGTATCCAGCAGGCTTCATACTTGCCTGCCGGGTCCAGTGCTGCTAACCACCTCCGGCATCCTCACCATAACCATCTGGATTGCTTTCCTTTCAGGCCTGGCTGGCAGAGCACCCTGCTGGCTGGAGGTGCTGGCTTCCATTTCTCATAGATGATGTCAGCAGGCCGATGTACTGTGTCCTGTTCACTTCCGTTGCTCCTTGCCAAATCTGATTTAGTTTGACTCTAACTCAAAACTGAATCGTATTTTTTTTTCAATTCAGTCTGTCCTTTAGAGGGCCTTGCTGAGCTAGTCACTTTTGCTTGTGATTGGCTTGAGGGCAACGGAACACTGAATTGAGCACCAGAGCTGCCCTGAGCAGTGCACTTTCCGCAACTCAATTTCCTTAAAAACTGCCTGTTAGTCTGGGTCTGATCCAGTCTTATTGGTTTGGGATGTGAGGAATGCCCAATAGGTGGCTCATTCAGACCTGTTTAGCGCTCCCTGACTGCCTTCCACTTCAATTGGCCAGCAAAATCTTCTTCAAGCGTGCTCAAGTTCAGAGGAAAACATTTCTGTTTGTGCAGGATGGTGCTACTCTTTTCCTCCTGTAAAGATCTTTCCTGTTCAAAAAAGCCCTGTGCTGTCCAGTAATTTCCTAAAAGGAATAGAGGTGAGATGTTTCAAATAAGAGCATTCTAGTTGGTATTTCCTCCCTTTACCCTTTAGTGGGCATCCAGGAGAGAAGAAGCCAGCAAAAAAAAAATCTAGTTTCTGGGCTGTGGAGAAGCCATTTCCAGGGGAACTTGATGGAGAGAAGTCCAATGAAGTAGCCAGGTGTAATTAAAGGGGGAAAGCTGTCTCTGCTGGAGATGGCCCTTCTCTTCAGGCTAACGAAACGGGAGGGTGAGGAGAATACATATCCCTGGTTACCAAGAGCAGAACTAGCCTGGATCAGCTTGTTTGGACAATGGGGCTTAGAAATGAGGTTTTGAGCCAGCCAGTGTAGGAGGAAACAGTTTTCAGAGTACATGTGGTTTGGACATCTCTACTTTATCACTCTGTCTCCCCTTGATCCACTGTGTACAGCTAATATACAATGTGCTCACCACACCAAGTTGGCTAGAAGTCATTAGCTGTTCTATGTGGCTGTGTAAACTCCGAACAGGGAAACTTCTGCTGGTATGACCAAGGTGCAGCCAAAGCCCAGCATAGTTCAACACTCTGATTAGAACACTCTGCTAACAGCTGCCCCATTGCTAGATTAGAGACCATCTGCTGTCTGCCAGCCTGGTCTAACCTTAGATTTAGCAACCCCTGTTCTTCTGCATGCAAAAAGGATAAGACTGAAGGTGCTGGGGAGGGTGGGTTCCAGATCTGGAGCGCTAGACTGTTTACAGGCAGAGTTTACAGCTTCCATGTTCACTGAGAATATTTTGTGCATTCCAAAAGAAGAAGCGATTTCTCTGCACTTCCCTATGGGAACAGATAGGTGGAAAGTGTATCACAAGACCAAAGGAAAAGCTCGATGCATGCCATTTCTGTGACTGCTGGAAACTTTGTCCCTCGTCCCCATTGCTCTTCCCTGCCCCACCCCAGCACCATGTGGTGTTTTTCTTTTCAGTTTTTCTTTATTTCTAAAACTGTATATTTTCCAAGCTGTGTAAATTTCTTGTACAAACCAAAAGGTGTGAATTAAAAAAGACACTTTTGTGTTTTGAAGAGAAGTCACTTGGTGGTTGGTGGGTGGAGGCAGATTTGCTCTGATGGTGGATGTGGAGAAGCAGGACGTTCCGGGAAGGATGATTTGCCTTGCATTCTCCTGTTCTTATTGCCATATAGAAACTCAGTTTGAATGTACCATGTATCACCACTGCCACTTTGTAAATTGCTTCTGGCATCTTGTAAAATGTCTTGCAATGGCTTCACGGTGCAAGGGAAGACTTTGACGCATCACTTCGGGAGTGGATAATTTCCCATCTGAAGTGGCAACTTCAGCTCAGACAAGGACAGGAGAAGACTATCCTTTCCTTTAGTGACCTTCCCTTTCAAGTGGCCGCTGATGTATGCTTGGAAGTAGCCACCAGCACACCATATCCTAGTGACATATTCTCCCACTGGGTTCCAGCATAGCCACGGAGAGCAGGGCTTTCCTCTTCCTCAAACTCTGGCCCTAGCATCAACATTGTCCTTGCAAAGCAGCTCTGAGGCTGGATGGAAATGGCAGACACCTTCCTGCTCTCGTGGGTATTACCTTCTAGAACTGTTGCCAATAGTTGGCTCACTTGCTCACTGTGGGTTTATCATAAGCGTGTCAATGGGAAAAAGTGTTACTAGAGCATAAAACTCATTTCCTGCATTTATGTTCTTGTGGAACTGTGGATTCTTACATTATAGAAAGCTCTATGACTCCCTTGCTTGTATATCTTTAAAAGTGAGTTTAAACTGTGCCATTATTCATTGCTGAACCAGAGTGAGCCAGGTGTCATAAAACCCAGGTGCCAACTCTTCATAATGACATCTCTTCACTGTCCTTCCTTTGGATTCCTTTTACCTGGAGCTGGCTTGCCATCCAAATTGTCTACTCCAGTCATACAAAGTCTCATCTATCAAAACTGTTTTCCCCACTCTGTGAGGCTTATTCAGCCCAGCAGGAAATTCATTGCAAAGCAACTAGCCTTGGTAGAAGCTGTCTTCGTACAGCTAGCTGATCATTAGTATCTGTTGCCAGATTCTGAACACTAGGCTCCTGATGCAGGTAACCTTGGTCTGCACTTTCTTGGTGCTGTTCTAACCAGACCTCCCTAGAAGTCACCTCTAATTTGCTCCATTAAGCCCCAACTTCCTGAACAGCTGTTATTTTATGAACCCAGCCAGCTGTTTTCTTCCTTGGTACGTTTGCTTTTCTGAGGAGTAAGTAGGCAAAATATGCCATTTGCTGACATGAAGGCTCACGGAGCTTTCAAATTTCTTAGCTGGTTATGTTCTTCAGGACAGGTGCTTGTCTGCAGCATTTACTTTGTTTTCTTCGGCACCTTCACCACAATCTCCATGGGCTCCTTGGCTTTGTTGCGATAGGCCTGGCGGATTATGTCCACAGCTCGCTGGTGTGTTACATTCTGCAGGCTCTCTCCTTCCACTGCAACTAGTTCGTAGCCAGCCTGGGAAAGGACCAAGGAAAGGGGAGTTAGGAAGCGAGCCAGGCATCCTAAGTGTATGATATTTTGGAAAGTAACTTTACATGGATGTAGCATGGGATAACAACAGCTACAAGAACAACATTAATTAAATGGATAGTGTATTAGGGAGAGTGCAACCAAATGTCAGCAGCTGTACCCTTTTCTGATCTCCAGATGTCCCCACTTTGAGCCCCCTTGCCAAGTATTCCTGGCCATTGGCCGTGTTGGCTAGGCTGATGTGAGCTGAAGTCTGAAACACCTCAAAGTTACTAGGTTGGGGAGGGCTTTCCTAGGTGTTGGCACTGAGTGTATCTTAGAAATGTGTTCTTGTTACTCATACAGACCACATGGTGTTTGATAACAGTTCTTAGAAGTCTGAGCTTCAGAAGCAAAGTAGTTGTGGGAATGATTATCTTGGAGGAACCTGAATATTAATTAGAAGGATCAAGTTCTTTTTGTCCAGCTACTTGTGACTGAGGTGGAACTATTGTGGCTGCACCTAAAGTGCAAATGTCTGAATAATGAAGAATGGCGAAGGGCAACCATGGGGGAGATGTAATTTTAGGAAGAATGTAGCCTTACCTTCAACTGGTGGATAGATATATTTGTACATATGTTCATCTAAACTATTGGTAGGAGTTCAGACAAAGGTTTTCAGACTTTGCTCTGGAAACCCCTAAGGCTTGTCAGATTCCTCAGTGAAAAGTTAATAGAGGACCAACTTTCCTGAAAAAAGGCCTTCCTGCTGCTTCCAACTTCACCCTGCCATGTGCAACCCTAGAGGAAGAGAGCACGCTGTCAGGCCCCAGTGAAGGCTCAACATGAATTGTGTGGGCCTGAGGAAATGCTCCCAAATCCACTGCAGCACACTGGCTTTTTAATGGAAGCTGTTGTTCAACATTGACCAGGGCGACCTTCCTTAGATCCGAGGCATGTTTGGAAAAGTAACAGGGCAGCAACTACAGCAGACTCACTGCCACTCATACATTGCCAAACTGCCTGAGCTCTTGTGCTATTCTTACCTATAATGAGAGGCCTACCTCTCATGGCATTACTTGTGTAAGCAATTCCACTCTTCCTGGAGCCCCTTCCGTGCTTGCAGGACTTTTGGTCAAAGGAAGCTCTTCATGAGCCCTTTCTCCTGAATGAAGACTTCTTGCTGCCATTGCAGCTGCATATTTGGGCCCATTGGGTCCAAGTTCAGTACTCTTGAGACAGACAGAGAGAAGGGGGACAAGGAGGTTCTTTTTGTTCCTCTCCCTCTTCCATAGCTCAAAGAAGGTAGGAGTACCAGAAGCCTCAGCAAAGGACAGCAGCAGTAGGGCCAGGAGGCTCCAGAAATTGGGAGTGATCAAGTTAGGTGTGGCCCTAACAGAGTGCTGCTCTTAAGCCATCCCCCACTCATGTGGGCATGGGAACCTTGGAGAAGTTGTGTCATGCCTTAGGCCTGGGGCAGGCAGCCCAGTACCTTCCGTATATTTCATAATACAGCTCCCATCAGCCTTGACTGATAGTCAGGGATCTTGGGGTGTGTGTGTCACCCAACACCTCTGGAAGGCTCTGGATCGCTTAGCCCTGCTGAAGGCAGACAGCTCCCACTTCTTAATCGCGGTGGTGAAGTTTCACCTGCATTTTTAGCCCCTTCTGCCACCACAACTTGGGACAATTAGGCTATTATTGGAGCCACCTGGCAAGCTGGGCCCACAACCTCCAAAGGGAAGAGGCCACCAAAGGGAAAATTTAATTACAGCTGCTCCTGGGGACAGATGAAAAGTTGCCTGGTGGGCGGGCGGGCTGGCCAAGGCCCACAATGGCTCTTTGTGAGTGCCTAGCCTCATTACAGAGGCCTTGTGAAATGCCGCACAGCGCCCTGAACCATGGGGGACCCTGAATGGCACAATGCGTGTGTGTGTGGGGGGGTCTCTGAGCCCCCGATCTTATTCTAGGGCAAAGCACAATGAGATCAGAGTGAGGATCATTTTAAAAGAGTAGGACTATACAGAGATGGTTGGGTAAGGGTTTGAAATAGAAGATGCAACCCCTCTGTTGTGGCAGGAATGAAAGGTGCAACATTGCTTGCCTCATCTAGAAGAGGGAGGGAAAATTCCTCACTTGGCCACCATTGTGCTCTTTGTTTTGCACTCAGGGAATTAGCTCTGGTGTGAGTTGGTGTTGCCTTGAAAAGTTGGAATTATGGCATTCGCGCGATAGCCATTCCAGGGTACACAATCTGTGATGAAATGGGTCTGGTTTGAGAAGGCATCTTGAAACCTACTTGCCAGTGAAACAAAATTAGCTTTTTCAAAAATTAAAGCACAACTACAGTTAAGTGTGCCTCATGTATTGAAGCAGAAGGGCAAGGTAAAATGTTTGAAATCAGTTTGTGGTAGTGATCTTCTTTCCCCATGGCAGAAGAAGCAGTCCTAATACATTGACAATGCATTCTTGTGTTCAGGGATCCCCTTTCCCAGATAGCAGCCTTACAGAATTTATGTTATACATTGCTGAGGATGCATTTGGGCAGTTGAAATTTCTCCTTTAAAAAGAACTCCAAACAAGCAACCCACAATTTGGTCCCATTTCTGCATTTTAGATTTTTAAAAACTGTTGGTAATTACACATTGCAATAGAACATGCTTAGTTAATTTTAGTTGTACAGTAAAATGGTATTTGCACTGAAGGAGATTTATTAATTTATGGTGACCGGACCAGAGAGGTGAATTTAATGGATCCTCAGCGAAATGTCATATATGGGCTACCATCCTATGAGTACATCGGAATCTCCCATGAACTCAGTTGTAAACATGCATAAGATTAGTCTGCCTGTCCCATGGTGCATAGGTCCAGATTGCTTTGATGGGAGGAGAAGAAGGAAAGAGCAAAGCAAGAGTGTGGGGATTAGGGAAGCAGATGGATTGTTCTCTGCTCTAATGCAAGCTCTCCTGTGTGAGCTTGGGCGAGTTGCTTTGCTACCAGTGTATGGAGCAGGCAGGAGGGCGCTCTAGTTGGGTGAGATGGGGGTCGGGGGAGTTGGCACTGTAAATCCCTGCTCCCAGTGGAGTTTCTGAAAAAAAACTGCTTTATACGATTAGCTTGGGCAAGTCCTTTTGGAAAGGGGAGGAATCAACAGTGCTCGTGTGTTTTCTTCACCCTACACAAGTTCTATATGCTGCAAGCAAGCAAGCAAGCAAGCAAGCAAGCAAGCAAGCAAGCAAGCAAGCAGAGAAATAAAGAATATGCATATTAAAAATATACTATTCTTGATAGGTGTTTTGCACTGATGTTTGAATAGGATCGGTGCTGCTGAGGAAAGAAACGAGGAAGGCAGGTGCCTTGGCTCCTGTCGCAGCAGGATGGGGCTGCCTGATTCCCATGGAGGTGTCCCTTCTTTCCCTCCCTGCTACTCCATATACCTCCAATTCTCCACTCATGGATGCTGCTCCTCCAGGAAAGATCTTCTCAATCTTCACCATTGGCTGCAGTTTGGATTCGATTCCTCCTGAGATGCTGATCCCTGGAACACAAAATGGTGCTGTGAGCTATGGGCTGTGCAGAATTTATTAAATCTGTTGCATCTGTATTTATGGATTGTTATTCTTTTGTTCCTTTGCTCACTAATGGAATTGTATGTGTGAGAATTCCTGTTTGCAAGTCTTCATTAAAGCATTATGCCCCCTCCCCAGTTTTAACCCTTTCCAAAAAAAAACAACAACAAAAACCCAACAGTTTGCAATGCTACAGAATCAATGAGATTCAGGAAAGGCTGGTCTTCTGTGGAACCTGCAGGCTGGAATTAGAGAAATCCATACTCATTAGAATCCACTGCATTTCCCCACTAATCCCTGCTGTGAGCCCTTGGGAACCAGTATAAAAGTGGCTGAACCAATATGATGATGTTGTTGTTAGTTGCAAAGTTGTGTCTGACCCTCCATGACCCCATGGACAACATTCCTCCAGGCCTTCCTGTCCTCCACCATCCCCCACAATCCACTTACACCAACTGCTTCAGTGACTCCATCTAGCCACCTCATTCTCTGCCATCCCCTTCTTCTTTTGCTTTCAATTGTTCCCAGCATTAGGGTCTTCTTCAGTGAGTCCTTCCTTCTCATTAGATTTAGGTCATACCTGAGTGGCCTAGTGCTTTTCCCTATTTTCTTCAATTTAAACCTAAATTTTGCAACAAGAAGTTCATGATCTGAGCCACAGTCAACTCCTGGTCTTGTTTTTACTGACTGTATAGAGCTTCTCCATCTTTGGATGCAGAGCACACAGTTAATCTGATTTCTGTGTTGACTGTCTGGTGATGTTCATGTATAGAGTCGTCTCTTGGGTTGTTGGAAAAGAGTGTTTGCTATGATCATCGTATTCTCTTGACAAAATTCTACCAGCCTGTGTCCTGCTTCATTTTGTACTCCAAGGCCAAACTTGCCTGTTATTCCGGTTATCTTTTGGCTACCTACTTTAACATTCCAATCCCCCATGATGATAAGGATATCATTTTTGGGTGTTAATTCTAGAAGGTGTTGTAGGCCTTCATAGAACTGGTCAACTTCAGCCTCCTCAGCACCAGTGGTTGGGGCATAGACTTGGACTATTGTGATGTCGAATGGTTTGCCTTGGATTTGAACTGAGACATTGTCATTTTGGAGATTGTATCCCAGTACTGCTTTTCCTACTCTTCCATTGACTGTGAAGGCTACTCCATTTCTTCTGAGGGATTCTTGCCCGCAGTAGTATCCCTGAAGGCCATCTGAATTAAATTCACCTATTCCTGTCCATTTTAGTTCACTGATTCCCAAGGTGTCAATGTTCAGTCTTGTCATCTCATGTTTGACCACGTCCAGCTTGCCTTGATTCATAGATCTTACATTCTAGGTTCCTATGGAGTATAGATCTTTGCAGCATTGGACTTTCCTTTCACCACCAGATACATCTGCAACTGAGTGTCCTTTCGGCTTTGACCCAGTCGCTTCATTCTTTCTGGTGCTACTAGTACTAGCCCTCTGCTCTTTCCCAGTAGCATATTGGACACCTTCCGACCTGAGGGGCTCATCTTCCGGCGTCATATCTTTTTGCCTTTTGGTACTGTCCATGGGGTTTTCATGGCAAAGATACTGGAGTGGGTTGCCATTTCCTTCTCCAGTGGATCACATTTTGTCAGAGCTCTCTGCTATGACCTGTCCGTCTTGGGATGCCCTGCACGGCATAGCCCATAGCTTCATTGAGCTACGCAAGCCCCTTCGCCACGACAAGGCAGTGATCCATGAAGGGGTGAACCAATATAGTGAATGCCAAAATGCCTGACCTGATCCTATGGTTTTTTAATTGTGTGCCAGGAGGATGTGCTGCCCAGCCCATCTCATTACCACTGCTGCCTACTTCATACTCGTGGATCCTATCAGAGCACGCAGTGGGCAGCACAGTTTTACAGAGAGCCAACCAGGCCCGAATGCCTGGCTCTGTGCACAGCCGGGCATTACAGAAGGGACCCTGGAGATCACCCTGGAGATACAGATGGGGAGGAGGGAGGGACATGACAGCAATGGGAGTCGGGCAAGGTGCCAGCAATGGTGGGCAGTGGCAGGAACCTGTGTGTGTTTTCACGCTTTTGGTGGTGGGACAGCTTGTGTTGGGCTGGCACTCCTAGGGAAATGAGAAATATATCCTGGGTTTCTGTGTTGAGGCACAAAACGAATAGTGGCAAATTTATGTTACTGTCAAATCAGTGTTCTTTTTAAGCAGCATTACACATCTAGGCAGCTTCCAGATGTGGACTGTGCTTTCCATCACTGCCCACTGGCTGGGGATGGTGGGAGCTGTAGTCCAACATATTTGAGTGCCCCAGTTTGAAGATGGCTGGTATAATATTACTGAAGGTGTTGAGAGAAGATTTTTTCAAATGAGAGCATAACACCCTGACTTTGTACAATTTGCAGTGAATTTGATTCTCAGATATCAGTTGTTCACTGCTAGTGAAAAGGCATCACTCCCTCTCAGTCTCTGAGGCACAGTTCTGGTCACTGCAATCTGTATTTGAGGACTTCAAGAGAAGCCAGAAAAGAGGCAACAAGGAATAAGGCCTGCATCAGGTTAAAATTGCCCTTTTCTCTCCAGCATTTAATGGCATATGATGGAATGTGTCAGCTGTTTTAACTGGTCTAGTTTTTAAATGGGAATTATATTAGATGTTTAAACAGTTTTAAATTGTATATACTGGTAGCCTATTATGTCTGTATTTTTACTGTGTTGAGGGAGCTCAAGCTATTGGGCAGTATAGAAATGGAATTAACCACAAAAACAGAGCTTGAATTTTCAGTTGGGAAGCTGAAGGAAGCTGCCTGGCTCCAGGGCTGGCCCAAGGTGCTTTGCCAGCAGCAAAGCAACAGCAAATAGCACTCTGTTCAGGTCTGGTGAGACTGTTTGGGCACTGGAACTAGCACACCACACTGCTGACTCTCCTGCACCCTGGCTGTGAATAAAAACAGTGGATCAGCTAACAATTTGCTTGCTTGTCAGGATGCCCCAAATCAGCTGCCTGAAGCAGTCACCGCACTTTGAATATTGCAGGGGCAGAGAGGGGACAGGGCTAGGATTGAACCTCTTCTAGCCAGAGGGCCAAATTCCATTTTGGAGATGCTTCTGGGGCTGCACTCCAGCAGTGGATAGGGATGAAGGCAATGGGGCAGAGCCAAAACAAAGAACCCAGCATGTTTTAGCTTAATGCTCTTCCTGCCATTAAGAACACCTTAAGAGAAGCATCTCAGCCTTTTAGAATGGAGGAAAAAACTGCAAAGGGTAGGAAGCCGCCAAAGAGGCAACACAAGGATGTGTGGCTATGTAAGAAACCCTGTATTGACCACCCAGACTGGTTCCCTAGGCCCATGGGTCGGCGTCACAGGCTAAGGGTTGGTTACTCCATTTCCAAGGAATACATATTCTGGTTAACCTTGGCAAGCTCTCGGAGCCTCTGCTTACCCAGAGACTGCTTGCTCTTGGACAGGCTGACGGTCACTAGCTCATACTCTTCCTCCTCAAGGTCACAGGGGCCATTTTGGAGCTGAGCCTCTGGGACCCCATCTCCCACTTGGCTAGCAGCTGGGGCCTCCTTGAAAAGCTGTGAGAGCAGAGGCCTAGCTCGACGGGGCCTGTTGATGACAGAGTACAGGGTATCCTTGGCAGATTGAACTTCTCTGTGTGGTCCCCACACGGTAGCTTTGCCATTGCTTGACTTTGATACGCGAGACCTCCCTCTTCCAGGCCGTCCATCCCCTTCCTCTAGGGAGGGTGCCAATGCTTCCTGCATGGGCACTGTGGAAAGGGGACTTGCTGATGTTCTTGAGGGCTTAGTGAGAATCCAGTGGGACTCCTTGCCCACAGCTGCGGAGGGGACACTGTGGGACGTGTAGGCATCCACTGGCACATCAGGAAGAGGGCTGTAGCGGCGGGGGTGAGTCCGTCTGGGGCTGGGAGACAGCTGCAATCCTTTCACTCCATCATTCAGTGCCATCTGCTCCTCTTCCTCCTGCCGCTTTTCCTCATCGGTCACTGGTTTCAGGAGGAAACTGCCCCTGAAATCTGCAACCAGAAATGGAACCATTATGGCCATGTCTTCTTTCTAACAGACCCGTACTCGTGTGTCTCAGAATTCGGTGAAATCGGCTATGGCAGTATGCCCAATGTTTATAATGAAGAGAATTTGGGCAAATGGCTCAGAATGCAGGGATCAAAGTCATTGTTTGGCCCCAGGTATTGAAAAGATTCAGGAAGAGTTAATTTTATTGAATGCAACCTTATACGGAGATTTATGTGGGTGTTTATGTTAGTCCCTCTCCTGCTGCCGCAGAGCTGGCCCAAGCTATTGGGCAGCTTGAAGCAGCTCATCAAGTGGTGCTACCTTCACCCTTTTCACCAAGGCATGTAGCACCTAAATTCAACCACATTATTCTGGTACATGAGGTAGAAAATCCTACAAGCACCCCTCCCTTGCCCTAGCAGGAAACATTCAACAATAAGACAATTAAATATTTAATAATTTGCTGCCATCTTTTTGGCACCTTGCCTAGGCAGCGGCCTAACACTAGGACTGGCTCTACCCCCACACCTCAAAATCAAACACAGCCTCCATATTGGCTGCTAATCACTGCTTCTGCAACCCTGTGCTGTTCTTGGTCCCAAATAGGAGGAACTGGCTTTAATCAGGCCTGGTCAAATGCTTTTCTGTTCAGCACTCCTCCTCCTCCTCATCATCATCATCATGGACAATGGCTCTACTTTGGGTTGGAGGGTGAGGCCTTTTGCAGGCCTGGAGATTATTCAGGTCTCCTGTCTTTGGTTGCTCTGTACAAGTTCATCTGCCAAACATCCCGAATGACTTAAATGGTGTGAACTGCCCAGGTATGAGTGGTATAAATCGCCGTCATCATTATCATCATCGTAGTAATACATAAATCGAAATACTGCAAGTAGAACACAGCATGCAAATGAAATAAAGCACATATCTGTGCAAGCCACATAACCTGCTTCAAAACAAGAAGTCAAAGTCTTTTGTCACAGTCACTCCTGAAAGGTAAAATGTTTTAACTTTTCAGGAACGGGAGGGTCTCCATGGAGTTTGGAAGGCGACCATAAAGACTCACCAGGCACTGGAGTGATAAGATGTCTCTTCGGAGGTGTTTCGTGCTGTGTTGGGCGGAGTGCAGGTGACCTCACTGTGAACATGGGAAAGTTGGTGAATCAATCTATCTGCTACATTTTCTTTTGCACAGTGGTTTTGGGTGATCCCAGAGCAGGCCCCATTTCAAGGTTATTTCCCCTCAGTAGTTAATTTATTGAGCAAAACAACTTCCATAGCTCAAGGCCACCTGGAAGTCATGCCTTCTTTCCCAGAAGCCCTTCCTTCTGAAGGTGATGGAACAGGAAGCTATATTCACACAACTCAAAAGGGAGTTGTGCTTTTGAGTGTGTTCAGAAGCACTCTTTTTTCATTACATAATTCCCAGACTCAGTTGTTGATGTTTAGGATAGCCTGATACTCAAGATAGCCTGGCTGCAGAAGCCAGCAAATCTGATCCTTTCCTGGGCCTCTTGAGAGACAAAAGGGCTCGCTCTCACACATTCACATCATAGCATGGAGAACTCAATAAATCCAGAGGCAATCAGAGAATTCACAGCTCACAGGTCCCACCTGTTGGTTTCAGGGTTCAGTTATTTCACTAAGTTATTTCCTGCATGAAGGCTTGCATATTTTTGAAGCTGACACTAGTCAAAGTGCTCAAACCCTTTCCAATCCTTTATCATGATTGTAATTGGTTTTTTGATAGCACCATTGTCTGCTCTGAGGCAAGATCACATCAGAGAAGAGAAATGCCGGCTCTTCAGGTTACTCATCAACACTTTGTACCAAGTTGTACCAGACTGAAAAGGCGCACAGCTCACCTGATTGTAGCCTTCCTATGGTAAATTGTAGTTCTATTTGAATTATATTAACTATGAATTTGTATCTATACATATAAATCAGCACATGCAAGTGTTAAGCAAACTGGTATACCGTTTTGTCTTCTTCTTTGGGGATGCATTTCCTCTTTTATGGTAACCACGCTGAGATTAAGTTGGTGTACATCTCTTATGCACATGATATCTGTGGCCTGTCCAGCACCAGTTCACAAGCAAAAGCACCTGGGAAGTGCTGCTGAACAGGCCAAAAATCTTCCCAGGTCATGCAGGTCTCTTACACACTCCTTGTAAAGCATCTTGTGTCAAAGTCAGTGTGACATTATTCATGCAACTAGCAATTTCATGTGCTAATTAGTAATTGCATAAGGGGTTCATTTTTGTTCTTTAAGTAACTGGCAGGCATAGTTATTAGAGCTGCTGATCTGATCTGGATGGCGAGTGTTGGGAAAGTACAGGACTTGAACCCATTGCCTCCTGATGTAGTCTTGACCTGTCAGGTCCTCTGCATCTGTTATTTGCATTAGATATAGAATTCATCATGTTTAGAATAGGCCTATTGAAATCATGTGACAGGTTAGTCAAGACTAACTTAAATCTCACTGATTTCAGTGCATCTACTGCAATCATAATGATGTGATTCAACCTGTTACAAGGAAAGCTCCAATTCACACCAATTGAAGCCTTAATACAGTTTGCAGGGGACACATTCTAGCAGAAGGCAAAGAATTAACATCTCTCCCTCATGAATGTTCCACTCCAAATAGCTTAGCTTTTAGTTTAAAAAAATGAAATCACACTGAGTAATTGTGTAGATGGGCTTCACATTGGTTTGGCCCTTAAATATGTTTGTTAAGGAACATTGGATGGAAAGGCAAACATGTTGTTAGAATCAACCTTCTGCTGATTTGCAAGAAACTTTGATTCAGTTGAGATAGATATCTTTTTTGTCCAAGTTTTCTTTTATAGACAAATACGTTGAAATATTCCTTTCTTGAAGGCAACCCTTTTTGAGTAGGAATGTTTTCTTACTGGCTCTTCCCCACCTGTTCTGCTCTTCAGTGCATCATAGGCTTCCAGCTCCACGGGCACAACCATACTGTCGAAGCGGCCCAAATCTGTCGGGGCGATCACACTCCTGAAAAACGTTAAAGAGGAAATGATTGGGAACCATACATTCCCATTGACTTGACCTTTTCAATGTGCATTGCATACCCTCTGCTCTCCTTTTTGCCAGGATGAGGTGGTTACAGCAATTTTAGTCTTCGCCAGGCCAAGCCTTCAGTCAGCCATGTCCCTAAACTGAAGGAATAGGCAGGCACATTGATGCTTACCCGTTATGCAAACACTCAGAGGCTTTCACCTGTTTGGACTGGTCTGTGATGGAGCTCTGAGGAACTGGAAAGCTCTGGCATTGGGCCTGCTGGAGGAGGGAAGCTTTCATGGTGGAAATGGTGGGCAAGAAGCAGTGTAATGCTTAGTTCTGTGCTCTGCTAGTTCCTCAAAAGAGACAAACACCTCTTTTGCTAAGCGGGTGGGCTAGCTCTGGCTGTTAGGTTGCTGTGGATTGCTCTTTATAAGATCATGTAAGCTTTAAAGGGGGCGAACTACACAGTGCTATTGGAGGGTGCCTGATGCCAAAATGTTGGTATTGTAGAATTGCTTCCGGATTGCTTTTCCTGCGAAGCCCAAGGCCTTTTCTACATATAAAATGACGCCAGCTTTGGGCAAGAAGTAAATGCCATGGATGCCCCGCAGCCTCAGTGCAAAGCAGCAACAGGGCACAGAATGGTAGTGTAGGAGGCCCCCTTGGAGTTTACCTAGTGCAGGGGTGGCAACCTCAGGTCCAGGGCTGAAATTCTGATCCTCTGAAATCTGGTCCCAGACTACCCTTTACATAGTGTTCCCCAGATGACTACCGTTTCCTCGTGCCCCCCCTTTTCTCCCTACCAGGGGTCATCCAGTGGCTTGCTGGCTTTTTTGCCTTTGTCCCCACCCCTTTACCTTCAGCATCCTCCATCACTGAGAGGTGGTCCCTGAAAGCTTTTCCAAAATGGAGTTCAGCCCTCAAGCTGGAAGAAGTTTCTGTCCCTAATCTAGTAGACCCCCCCACTCCATGTAGGACTAACATGGAGTGATGCAGGATGCAATCACAGTATCTGTGACAGATGGACCTCTAGAGGCCACCACCAGGACAGTCAGTTTATTCCACTGCTCTCTCCATTAGGACATTTTTATTAATGTTGAGCTGAAATCTGCTTGCTTGCCCCTTTCACCCATTAGTTCCAGTCTTGCCCTGTGAAGCTACAGAGAACAAGCCTGCTCCAGCTTCTCCTTAACAGCCCTTTAGATATTTGAAGTCTGCTACCATCTTCTCCTAATCGCCTCTTCTCCAGACTCAATATATCCAGGTTTTTCCAGTCTCCTCCTCTCCCTCTTTTAGTATTATATACCTGTGCCGTGCCAGAACAAGTCACAGCTATGCTTGCATCCCTGACACAGCCCTACTTTTTGCTTCCTTAGTCCTTCCTTGTTCCTACCTAATATCTCTGAGAAGAAGTAACTTCTCCGGCTGGTCGAGAATTGCTAGCAGGGGCCTCACAAGATCTTCCACTCCACTCTCTTGGATGTACTGGGTGGGGAAAAGAAACATCAGCAGAGATCACACAAGAGATCACATCATATTGACATTCAGTTTTGGAAAGGCAGCTTGCCTGCTGAAGTTGGTGGACATCTCATCAATATACTACTGTGCCGTTGTCCAGCTCCCTCCAAAGAAGGGTGACCTAACAGTGGGACAGCTGTGCCTCCTGCCTGGGTCTGGCCATCCCTCAAAGAAACACATGAAGTCTCATAGCAAAGCAGATCTCATCAAGGCCATGATGGTTGACACCAACCAGCTGTGGTTCTCCAGAGTTTTATGCCACAATCCCTGCAGATACCTGGGACTGAACCTGGAACCTTTGGCGTGCAAAGCATGTGTTCTACCACTGAGCTATACCTCCTTCATGATGGTTTGGTCCTGCCTTCAACAGACCATCAGGACTTCTTCAGACCAAGAACTGACTGGAACCAGATTTTTTCAAATGTAGAGTTAAATCAATGGGACTTGAGGTAATCAGGACTAAATCACTGGATCCACTTTAAATATGGCTAAGGTCTGGGGCCAAGCCATTAGCTACAGAGCAAGTCCCACTATGCAGAGTGGCAATGTAATTCCAAGTAAGCATACATTATAAGTTTGTATGTGGAGCTCTTTATTAGCCACCATGTTGACTTTTAATACCTGATGGATGAGTATAAGGATTATAATCCTGTTCGCAGCAGCAATCAAATGGCTTTAGCGAAAGGAATCTGACTCAGGGCTGCTGCAGCATCTCTGCAGTCCCCCCCCCCCCCGCCCTAGTTTTCATAGCCCTGCACGCAACACTCCCTCCCTAGCCTCTCTTCACTGCTGAAGGTCTATGAAGATTAGAGCCTCAGTATTCCTGGTAATGAGTTCCAAGTTTGTGTTAGTCCAGAGCTCTCTCTAGTGGCTGTTCTGAGCACATCAAAGGCCAGTATGTATAGGAAAGAAATGGAAGATGCTAATACTATGCTGTTGAGAAAACCATTCATGCAGCAATGATGGCAGATTAATCTAAATTAAAGAACAACTGCTCTGCTCTAACATGTCCCCACCCCCATTCTATGAAATCAGCATAGGGCAGCCTCAGATAAAGGCAAGTTAATCAATCAATGTCGTCTTTCAAGGAAGGAAACAATAAATCTCATGTTACTGTGGACTCTTAAATACCAGAGAGAAATAGAGTCAGTAAAGACACGAGAACTGATGGAATAGAGATTAAGATCAGGGATTCTTTGGCCCTCCAGGTGTTGTTGAATCCTGACTCCCATCAGCCTCAATATCAAAGGATGATAGGAACTGTAATGAAACAAAATAATGGAAAACCTCAGATTCCCCACCCTAATCTCACACAGCTGTCAGCATGATGCTGTTAGCAGAAGCACTGTTAGGCACCACAGGGAGCAATCCTGTGGCCCCCAGACAGCATTCGAGGAGCCATAGGAAAGTTTAGATTCCCTAATCCAAGGTCAAAGGCAGTGCTCCAGCCTCTGTGCTAGGAATCAAAGTACCAGCCCCACTTCCCCATGCAGCTGGTAAGAAAAGAACTGCATCATTGGGAGCAAAAGGGAACAAGTTGGAGAGGCCAGGACATGAGCATCTTCAGCCTCTTTCTCTCCCCTTTGAAATGTTTCCAGTAGATGGGGAAAAAACCCCACATCTAGAGAATAATGCAGGGTGGTAGGATGGTAAGACTCTGAGTTTGGCTTACCATCCTCTCTGCATGGTAAGACTCTGAGTTTGGCTTAAGATCATCAAAGGTATAACCTGTAGGATTTCACCCCACGAAGTTCAGGAACTGGCTTTACATGACACAAATCTACATGTGAGAATTCACGCTAATATATGCCAATTTAGGAATAATTACTAGAATTTCTTTAAATTTCATATGAATTTCACATTAATGTCCCATCCAAATAATTTCAAATAACACACATTCCTCGATTTTTTGCACCCTGACCTAAACAATCCCAAACAAATGGACTATATATTTCCCTTTATCTTCAGTGTACCCAGGGAAGAAATTGGGATGGAGGTAGACATTACACAATGTGAAGAGGGAAGAGTTAATCATTCTCTTCCCAGCTGCATTTCCTTGAAAAACTGCATCCAGAATGTCAGTTATGACAAAGAAAAAACAACACCCATTGACACCAGTGGACACGCAGGGCTTTGTGATGTTTGTCTGGGACCCTGGGAAATAGACTTGAGGCTGGGGCTCCATAGGTTCAGGCCTGACGATATTCCCGGCTGCCAGGAAGGCACAACATGAATAAATAAGGAGATTTAAAGTGCACAAATGGTGCTGAGGGTGCAAAGTAATGACTCTGAGGGCAACGTGAGGCAAGCAGCAACTATAAACTCTAAATACAAGACCTGAAATCAAGAGCATTAGGACTTCGATGCAGGCATTGGCCTGTTCCATACCCTGGTGCAGTGCCTCAGCACAGCCGCTACCTCATCTTCCATCAGCAGCTTCCTGGCCATGTCCTCAATCAGCAGCAGGTGACTTTCGGTGACTTTGCGTTGCTCGCTGCTGTAGTGATCAGGAGATGACAGCACTGAAGCCTTCGAGCCCAGAGAGGTGAATAGGTGGCCTTTTTCTGGGAAAGGAGCACCAAAGAAGTCAATGCACACAGTCAAATGGCATCAGGGCAGAACAGAGCAACACAACACCATTCGCCAACCAGAATCACAATCCTGCAAGGCATCCAACATGCAGGTGCATCCACAAGAATTCATGTGTAATTATGCAGCATTCACAAACATCTCTCTCCTAAAACACCTGACTGGGCCTACTTTTGATGCTGGCCCTATTCGGATGCTTTGGCCCATGGCAAGGCAGTCACAGAAATCTCAGGATATAAAGTAGTTCAGACCTACAATTTCTTGGCCCAAAAGTAGGACTGTATTGATAATGTAGTCTATGCAAGATATATATCACTTCACAAAATCAAGGGGAATCCTGATGCTAGTTACACATTTTCATCTTTGCTGAAAAGATGGCAAAGTTGGTGCCAGGTGAGCTGACATTTCATAACTGAAACTACTGCAGAAAAAGGCCAGCCTCTCATCACTATCTTCTAAAGACAGGGCGTAGAGAAGAGGGACAATTCTTTGCAGCTAACAGGTATCTTGCCCAATAGAATAGAAACACGAATTGTCCTTGACCTTCCCAAAGACCATTGGTGAGTGTCATGACTGAATGTGTGTTTGGGCCCGGAAAATCCCCTCTCTCTAGCTTTACAGTTGATGTGTCGCATTTTTTCAAATGTCTGTTCTCTACACCCCAAACCACATTTTTGCTTAGAAGATGCTAAGGGGAGGGTTTAAAGGAATGGTCCTTGGCATCATTACAACACACACAGGCCTTTAAAAACATGCTAGCATAGAATCACATGCTGCTGGCCAAAGCACAGCCACATTCCTGTTCAGTTACCCCATTTCAGAGTCCGGGTGACGAACTTCTGTACGACGCTAACTGCATGAGGGATGGGGATTGGAGGAAAGATCAAAGGAATTAAGAATCTGGTGAAAGAGCGTTGATGAGAAGAAAGTGGCAACTATTTTGGACAAACCTCTGCTTGTCTGATGAAAAAAAAAAGAAAGGGGGGAAAGTTACACCTGTTGTTATGCACCTTGTTGAAGCTTCACAGATAGGCTTCCTGCAAGTCTGATTGCCTGGGCTGATCAGTGACACAGCTTGGCACCAGATACAGGAAATGCTGTCTGTCTTCCAGTGGCTGGCTGGGAATTGTGGGGGTTGCTGTTCAACAAATCCAGAAGGTGCTAAGCTTGGGGGGTCTGCTCTGCCCTCTCAGAAGCCATGCCAATATACAATTCTCCTGTGCCACTTTGTTCCAGGTTTTCAGATACTTTTTCTTGCTGCAGTAATTAAAATGCTGTGTGGGGAGTGACAGCAACCTCCTCAGCAGATGTGACCTCCATGCCTGTGCCTAGCACTGCCATTTCTTCACCCAGAGTTTGGAAAACTTTGAATTGCTTCAGGGCAGAGCAAAAGCATTTGAGAACAGCACCCCCTTCTTCTCTTCTGCTATGAAAAAAGGAGCCTCTGAACATTAGTAATTGTAAGAATGATTTTCCTGCATGCTGAACCTCGCAATCTGATCTTGACTCCACCTCCACCATCCTCTATTTCTGTGTTACTGCCCATGAAAGGAGAAAGTCCTATTCTAAAAGGAAGTGCCCCAATGCAGAAACACAGAGGCCCTTGTGGCCAAGCAGAAAATTACAAAGAGAAAGGACTGCTGCCACACCAGCTTCAAGAGCTGGAGGAAAGTAAGGTGGTCATTTATGAATTCTGGAGAAAAAGAGGAACTGTATCACCCAAGGAACAAGACAAAAGAGGATACCAAATCAGTGTAAAAGATGCACATGGTAATTTATATACATAGATGCAAATTCAGAGTTCATATTTATAGTTCACGGAGAAATAGTATTTTGCACCATGCAGAGCAGGTGATCTTCCCTGTTCAACCTGCTGTCCAGGGGATCATTGTTGCTGGCCAACAGTTTTTATGGTTCTTTATCCTTGAAACAGACTTGTCAGGGCAATCCATCAAACAGAGGATGCCTTCAAAGAGAGAGTGGTCCCTCGGCAGCCCTTGAAAGAGAGGACTGTACTGTGTAAAAGAGGACACATGGGGAGTCTAGAGGATATTAGAAAGAAAATGCTAATGCTTTTCATTACCTTTCTCCCCATCAGACTGTGCTGGGGACTTGGCTCGCCTCTGTGTTTCTGGTGACCCAATGGCTGAGCTTGGCTTCCCTGACCGTGTACTTTTGAAGAACAGGTTCATGAGGGTTTTGGAACGCTGGAGAGTGGCCTTCTTCTCTGAAAATATGGGCTTCTCCTTCTTCCTCTGGCGTTTCTCCTCTGAGGCAAGATTCCAGGAGGTTAGAGCAGGTGATCCCAGCCATGGGATAATATAAAATCTGGTCTTATCCCCAGCTGCCATTATCCTCAACTGCCATCTTAGCACCAACATTCCTGCAGCTTAATATAGTTACCATTTAATAGGAAGCTCTCTATCTTTTAAATGAGGGCCATGAAACTTCTCCATGAGGGACCAACAGAGCATGGGAATGATTAGGCTTTTTATTAAAAAATAGAAATAGAACACAGTAACACACAACTTTTGTGCAATGAGCTCATAACGATACTATGGAAAATGTATCCAAATAAATAAGCATTTTATTTATTCATTGAATGTATTTTGGCCTTTCTGCATCCTGGCACCCTCCAAATGTGTTGGCTGTTGGCCATGCTGGCTAGGGATGATGGGAATTGTAGTCCAAACACATTGTAAGTAGTGCACAAGGCAAAGGAGGGATGATGTATTATTGAATAGGGAAGTGGTATTTTTTTTCCACTCAGCACAACTTCTTGCTTTTCTTTTGGAATTTCCCCAGAATCCCCAGTTCTACCAAGATTTCTTGTGCCGGAAAGTACCAGCAACAGGCCTGTGGGCCTTGCGAGGAACACAAGCTGTGGGCTTGGAGAACAAAAGAAAGGGATGGTGCCTTGACTAAAGTGTACACGGCTTTGGGGGATCATTTGGTAGGTGATGCTCATATATAACTGGGTGCTCTGGTAGTTTAGTGGTGGGATAGATTTTGGATATAGATGGAAAACCTATTCAATCTGAAACAGCAGTTTGCTAGTGGATGTGGATTTGAGTCCAATAGGAGAGCTGAGAGAGACATCCATGTTAGGACCGCTGGTGCGAGGGTAAGCATCAAAAATAGTGGCAGAGCTGAAGAGGAATGAAAGTGGGGACATGTGTTCTCTGTGGGACTGCCCTCGGAAATGGCTGCCGTTTCAATTGGTGCAGAATGCAGCAGTGGGAATGGTGTAAGAGCTGGGTGTTTTCTTACATACTGAGTTTGTCCCTGTTTCATTGCTTTTTTTGTTTCCAAGCTGAATTCAAGTTGTTGGTGTTTAATATTTGAAGCTGTAAAGTGGTTGGGTTCCAGGCTTTATCTGCACTCATAAATTCATGCCTGAGCCTTCAGCTCGTGTTCATTTCCCTGGACCATCAGTGAATGCTGGTGAGTAGCAATACAGGGACTTGCCTTTAGTGACCCGCATCTCTGGAATACACTCCAGAGGAAAAGCTACTTGGCTTCCTCCTTCTTAGTGTTTAGTAGACCCCTAAAGACCTTTCATTCTAGTATGCATTTGGTTGATTTTGTGACTCCTTTAAAACAAACCTGTTTTATCTGTTTTTAATGTTACCGTTATAGTTTTCTCTAGATATTTTATCGCTTGTTACATGTTGTTTTGCTATTTTAGTATGTTACTAATTTGTAAATCTGTTTGTAAGTTTCATAAACATTTGTAACATTGTTTTACAGACACTGCTTTAGAAGGGTAATTTATCCTGAAATTTGATTTCAAAACCCACTAGTAAAGAACAAAAGTGGGAATACAGAGATAGTAAATAAGAAATAGGAAAGTACAGGGGCATGTGGATGAACTGAAGTGGTTCACCCTGATTGGGAGAGGAGTCTGAGCCAGAGAAAATTTCCTGAGTTGGACTGGGGTAAAAAGAAGGTGTTGGCTGGTATGTGTGTGTGTGTGTGTGTAGCCAGAGAATAAAAAGGAGGGGAGGGGAAATGTCACAGTTGACCACTGTGGGAACAGACTAGATCCTGGGTAGGATCCAGCATGGCTCTTTCTATGTTATTATATACTCCTGTTTGAACTGTCTCCTCACTCCACGATATTATTTTAGGGGTCTTCATTTGATATTTAAAATCAAAACAATATTATATGCAAATAGCAGTTAAAAAACAGGAAAGGGGATCCCAGAAAAACAGGCAGGCACAAAATACTGAAAACCCACCACTGGGTTACACTTGCCTAATGATTAGGTTCACCATGGACATTTATTTATTTATTTATTTATTTAGGGGACTTCTATGCCATCCCATTCGCCGAAGCCTCAGGGCGGCTCACAAACCATAAATAAATAGAATTCAATAAAACAATATAAATTTACAATATAAATTAAGTCACCCTGGCCAAAGAATAAAATGAATAAATAATATTAACAATTAAAATAACATTTGAATAAAAAGGTCTTTGCCTGGCGCTGAAAAACAACTATGGCACTAGGCGGATCTCTCTGGGGAGCGCATTCCACAGATTGGGTGCCACCGCAGAGAAAGCCCTCCTCCGAGTACTTACCCTCCTAATTTTCGTCACGGAGGGTTCCCGGAGAAGGGCCTCTCCCGCTGATCTCAAGGGGTAGGCGGGCATATATGGACGTAAGCGCTCCTTCAGGTAACCAGGACCCAAGCCGTTAAGGGCTTTATAGGTCATCACCAACACCTTGAATTGGGCCCAGACTTCAATGGGAAGCCAGTGAAGCTGACGGAGGACTGGAGTCATGTGAACATAACGCCCCGTCCCCGTCAGCAGCCTGGCAGCTCTATTTTGAACCAATTGAAGTATCCGGACCATCTTCAAGGGCAGCCCCACGTAGAGCGTGTTACAGAAGTCAAGTTGGGAAGTCACCAACGTGTGTGTCACTGTCTCCAGGCAGTCGTTCTCCAGGTAGGGGCGCAGCTGATGGATCAGCTGAAGCTGAAAGAAAGCGCTCCTCGCCACCGCTGTCACCTGAGCTTCCAATGATAGCTCTGGGTCGAGGAGCACTCCCAAGCTGCGAACCTTGTCCCTAAGAGGGAGTGCAACCCCATTCAGGACTAGGTTCAATTCACCCTCCCCGAAGCCCGATCCGCCAACCAACAGGACCTCCATCTTGTCTGGATTGAGCTTCAGTTTATTGGCCCTCATCCAGCCCATTACCTCGGCCAGGCATGAGTCCTTCTATGGCCACTTCAGGGTACACTGTAGGAGAATGGAATTGTCTTTCAGCTCCCTCCCATGATTGTGAGCCAATTTTGGCTTCTTGTAGTTTTTTTGCACTTTAAGCACTTTTCTTCTGGAGATCACTAAAGGTGGTTTGACATTAGACAACACCTTGAAGAGACTACTAGTGGCTGGTAGGCTGTTTAAAAATAATTTGCAGAAGAAAATTTGCAGGACATTGAGGCTTGAGTGCAGAAATTTGAAGGCTCAGCTGGGGTAATGTCTTGGGGAGCGACCTGCTGCCAACATGCAGCAGGTACCAACTCTGGACATTGCAAAAGAGAGGCGCCAAGTATTTTCCCTGCGTTTGGTTTCTTGACAGCTGCCAGAAGGTTTGCTGTCAAGAGAAAGTAAAGGCATGAGTGATCCTTGCTTGCAAAAAGGAGATGATGTGATTTACCCTACATTTGTGGCAAGTTTTATCAGTAATTTTTTTGGGAGGGTTGATAGTACATAGGTTGGTGGACATTTTGGACTCCCCCCCACCACAACTCTACATACTTTGTAATGTATAGAAGTGCTTTATCTCCCATCTTTCTTGGGAAAAGGTGTTTTGATGGCAAACGGTTTTCAATCATAATCCCTCAAACACAATAAAATAACATAAAGTGTATACATCAATGAGCATATTAAAATACTTGCAATATTAAAGAACCAGCAGTAAAGTTAATAACCAGAAAAACCTATTAAAGTAGAAGGTCTTAACCTTCCTTCTCAATGTTTATAGAGAAGACGCCAAGTAGATCTTCCTGAGAAAGGTACTCCAGAGGAGACCATGGCAGCCGCCAGAGAGACTCCAAAGACAGTAGTAGTAGCAGCTCTGCACCTACCACATATGGTCAGATAACTCTGTGATCTCTTGATGGGTTGCCGGGGGTGGCTGAGCGCCAGAAGAAGTGCAGTTTTGGGGGAGGGGTCTGTCCTTTCCTTGCTGGTCAAGGGCCACTGCTTCTTTAGGTGGAAGGGATCTTTGGGGCTCTCTGTGCGGATGGCTGTGTCTTTCAGGATTTCCATGGGTCGCACAATCCGACGGGTCTCAGTCAAGAGGCTCCCTGTAAAGGAGGCTCCATCAGGCAGTGGATCAGTCTGCATGGCAGTCTCTGCCTTCTCTGAAGAGCCACTCTGAACGGGCAGTTCAGTGGAGATGCCAACATCCACCATGCAGGTTGGTGCTGAGCTGGGAACGGGGCCCATAAAAAGGCCATTCATAGAGCTGAAGGGGGTCCCTGAGGAATAGGATGACACGGATGAACTTGATTCAGAGGTCTGGGACAGCTGCTGCAACTGGCCATTGGTCACTGCATGGAAAGAGTGAGAAAGAAATCGATGAACCTTCCCAGTCGCGCAACTTGAGATCATACAAGAATGCCATCTGTCTTGGCACACCATCCACATGCCTTCCCTGGACTCCATTTTTCTTGTGGGAGTATTGCAGTTTCCCGGTACTATTTTTTGTACATGAGAAAAAGCAATTCTTCACGCAGAGAGTGCAGGCTTTGCAATCCCCATCGCTGTATATAATATTACGCACAACCTGTGGATCTGTGCCACTGCAGGCATGTCCACAGGGTGAAAGCAAGCACTGCGATGGCAGAATGTGTGATTCAGCAAAATCTGCTTGTCTAGCACAGTGCCTGCCCTGGACTACTGCATCTCTACGTGTGGTTTTGTTTTGTTTTGTTTTGTTTTAAGAATAGGGCATTCTTTATGCACATGGGTATGATGGGCAGCAAAGATTATTTTCTGAAGTCCATGGAGAAAGGCAGTTTGCTTGCAGAACACTCTAATGTTTCTTAGAAAGGCCACAGTATAAGCATAGACAGAAAAGGCACATTAGCATCTTACATCTGTTGAGCCAGCAGTACTCAGCCACCATTTCCTTGTATGCCGGGAACCTCCCTGTCTCCTAGATAGAAGGGACAGAAGAGACACAATACGTCATGGGAGTATTTGCTGCTTGTCCAGCACTCTGTAGTGTCTTCAGAGACTAACCCGATCCCAGGTTGAGAGAGACTCTGATAAATAATGCATCTCCCACTGCCAGGTCCTTTCCCAGCTGAAACTGTATCTGTCAAGTCTCAAGAGCCTGGGTCTTGTCCCATAGCATCTTGGGAGGAAATGACTGGGCATCAGGAAAGACAATGCAAGACAATGGCATTCAGTACAGCTATTACTGCTTTGGCAGGTTGCAGCATAGGCTTGTGGGATATACCTTTCTGCATGTAAACAGTAGAACAGGCAAATCTACTTTCTGCCTATAGAAGCTACCACGTCATTCATCAAAATGCCGAAAGCCATATTAGCGTAATACCATTTTAGGTCAACCAAAAGATTGCAAACATGTACAAGCTGTTGTGGTCTGCAGATCTCTGCCTAAGGCAAGGTGTTTTGTATACGATGTGGCCTGATGAAGAGTTATAAAAAGCATGCATATTTTGTGATCTTTTGGTCGGCCTAATGAAGGTACTATATGAATACGGGTTTGGCATTTTACTTAGGGTCAATACAGCACCTTTGGTTTTTATCAAAATAGGAATAGGAGAAGCTGTGGACAGCCTGCACCAGTTGCAGTCTCTTTTATAAGGAACCATTTTCTCAGGCCAGGTAGCCTCACTCTACAGCTGTGCCAAGCCATAGAAGGAAATAGTCCATATTTGGCTGTATAGTGAAAGAGACCAGACCTGCACATGCAAGTATGCGCCTCCCAGCACAGCAAGTGTCCCTTGGAGCCGAGCAGAATTTGCACCCAGGTTGCAGGTGCTGGCAGGGACTCCGAGGACACTCTGCAAGCAGACAGCCAAGCCTACTGACGCCTCTCGCAGCACTGACGTCACATCATAACGGAGCGGCTGCATCTCCTTCCCGCCCCTCCTATCTGCATTTCGTATCTGGCCAGGTGCGAGCCTCACCTTGATGGTGAGCATGATGTGGGTCTGCCCCTTTAGCACTTCCACTGCCTTGCTATGGCTGATGTCATCGAACTTGACTCCATTGGCTGCAAGGACTTGGTCGCCCACCTTGATCCCATGTTGCTCAGCCAGCCCTCCAGGATCCACTCTGAGGATGAAACGGCATGGGAATTATCCTCAAGCTGGCACAGTGGGGCTTTTAGCAGAGACCCTGGGGGAGGTGAAGTGGAAAGGGGGAAACTGGGACACCCTATTGGCTGTATGTGAGGGAGCAACAGGAATCCACGAAAGTCCTAAGATCCACCAGTCATGCAGCAGCTCTGTTCTCCTCTAGTAAAGAACGGGAAAGCAATTCTTTCAGTGGCAGAGTTTCTGTTGGCTTTCAAAGGAGATTGAGGTGACAAGATCCTAGAGAGAGGAGCCAAGCAGCCTCCCTGTAACTCCCTGCCCTCTGGATGCTGGCTCTGGATGATGAGAGTTGTAGTCCAACACATCTAAAGCTCCTTCCAATATGTTCAGCATAACACTGCAGGAAGATTTACTTAACTTTGATATCAATTTATTCAGAGCTGAGGATGATTTCTTTCCAGACCGAATAAAGCCAGGAATGTGATACAAAAATACGCCTCCTGCCAAAGAGGATGCCCTTGATTTACAAAAGGCCACAGTGCTTCCCAGCTGATGGCTTGCTTTTCAGAGGCTGGATTAATTGGGGACAAAGAGGATTGACAGGGATACATAAGATGAAGATCTAGTGGGATTGGGACCACCTTTTTAAATGCTACATGTACATACACATTAATGCTCTGGACAGATTAATCTGAAAGGAGGATTGCAGAGGCTGGTTCTATATTTGCCATAACAATTCAGATCAGAGCCACCATTGTATCCAGAGCTGTGTAGTGAAGGATGGGGAAGCCCCCACCTTTTCTCATGATTTAACTGCCATGATTCTGCGTATGCAATTTAGAGTGCAATAGGCAGTGATAAGTCCCATTAAGCTCAAACTGCTGTTTAAAATTCAATTTATATCCCACCCTTTTCCCAGGAATAATTTGCCTGTGTGCTATATTTCTATGAAGCAAGTTACCCTTTTTGAAACACAGTATTTGTTACTCCAAGTAGCCTATAGAAGCTCTTTTTTCCATAACACGTACCTTTGAATGAGGAAGAAGGGCCAACTGAAAATAAAGAACAACTCTGCCTTTAGAACATTTTCTACTTATTAAGCCTGGAGTTCCTAAATATGAGCAGTTCCTATGTATTGTCAGTTCATAGTAATCATAACTCAGGGTCAAACTAAACATTAGACTAATCAAGTACTTTGTGTTGGAGCACAGTAGTTTTCTCACACAAATAACTAGTATGTTGCGGGGGCCATCCACACTAGGAACTGGTATGAGTGCCAGGGGAGTTAACTCTTCACCCTCATTGCTTCCCCAGTTGGATCACCAGCACCCAACCTGCCATTTGCATTGGTTCCCAGTAGGAGAAAAATCTTGCACTAAAGAGCCAGTCATGTCATGTGAGCAACACCATACGTAGCTTGACCCTCTGGTCAAGTGGTGGTATCCGGTCCCAAGCAGTATCAGGGAGTTCCAACACCAAGCAAGACTTACTTAGAGACATAGATACCAAGACCGTATTCCTTTCCTCCACGGATGTTGAAACCCAAGCAGTAGTCATCAGAGGTGGTGTAGAGGTGGACAATCCGCCGTCTTCCAGTCTCAGAGCTGGTATCTGATGGAATTGAACCACTCCTTTCTACAACCAGGCGTTTGTTTACCACATCAACCCTGTGGTGGGATGAAGAATTCTCCCAGGATTTCAGATTCTTAGAATTTTACACAATCCTTTCTCGTCTCCCATATAAAGGCTGCATTATAGCTAGTCTCTGCAACATGGCTGCTGTCATGGTAACAGAGCTTAATGTGAATCCAGAAATCCAAGCATGGCCTCAGAACCTTCTTTTAATGGTGCCTTTGAGAATGTGTATTTCCTTTCACCATCACCATCATTATTATTACATTACATTTCTATACTGCCTATAGCCAAAGTTCTCTGTATAACTTACAGCATTTTAAGTCATCCATACAGATTTCAACCAAGCCCGGCCCTGCTTAGCATTTTACCAAAGAATTAAAATCAGCTCAGAATGATTAGAAGGCTGGGTGTCAACTCAGCTATCAAATTCTGTCAACCAAATTGATTTATTGATCAGACCCTGATCAGGGGGCATGTACCTGTAGCTATTTTATGAAGGTAGGCAGCCCTGGGTCTGGTTAGTGCATGGAAAGGGGAGCACTGGGGAACCCCATGTATGTAGTCTTGACTTCTATGATAGAAGGATGGTATCATCATCATTATCATCATCATCCTCCACCACCACCACCAGTGTAGGACCTCTCAATAGAGTACCAATTATACTGGACTTCCTGCCTTCTGTTGCTTAATCATAGGATTCTACCATATATTCATCCCTATCCATTTCCAGTCTGCATATTATACAAATTAAGCCTCCTTCTGAGCCGCAGTTGCCATGCGATTTAAGCTGAGGGGAAAGTTTAGCCCAGTAACCCCACGTTACCTTGACCCTTGTCTCTCCTGCCCCCTGGTCAGAGTTCACTCTGATACCATCTCCCAGCATCTCATGAAACCTGACCTCTCTCTGTCTCTGCTCTGCTGAGCCCAGCACACTCACTGCAACCCATACAAACAAGGCATTGTGATTTTGGGTTACCCAAGGCCCACTGACAATAGGGTGTCACCATAGCAGGCAGTTCCTCTTACCATGTGGTCTTTTCTCTGGAGAACTTTATCCCTGGCACCTTGCCCATGCGTCTCACGACCATTCGCAGCCGGTTATTCCCTGTCAGGACTTTGACTGCACTTCCCATTGTAATGTTCTCCAGGCTCACACTGTTCACCTCTGTGATTTTATCTCCAACACACAGCCCAGCCTGTTCTGTTGGCATTAAATACAGAAAGCTGAACTCTATAGAATTTTTCTTTGTCTTGACTTTTTAAAATTAAACCAATATTAATTCAGCAAAGTAGTAAACACAACATGACAATTATGCTGACTTTTGCTTTACATTTATTAGTAATATTAAAAGAGATAACACTTTAGATTAATAGCTGGCATCTCCTTCTGTCTAAATATATTACAAGATGGGGTACACCCAATTTAATAGCAAGTGTTTGGTTTGGGTTTGCAAACCAGGAAAGGAGTGTCTTCAGACCAGCTTTCTGCCCCATAGTGCCTACAGATGTTGTGAACATCAACTCCCATCAGACCCAGCCAGCATGGCCCATGGTCAAGGAATCTTGGGAGCTGTAAACCAAAACATCTGAAAAGCACTATGTCAAGAAATGCTGCTGTAGATGTTTGTCATGCTTTGGGTTGATAGAATTCCTGCTCCAATAACTGTAGTGGTAAGTAAACCCTAAATATATTTTAGGATTGCCACTGAAATTTCATTTTCTATTTCCCTGACTTTCCCTGATCAACTTTTGTCAATTTGCTTGACCACCACTCAAAAGTAATCCTGAGATAAAAGAGTCTATAGGTTAACTTACATGAAATAATAGGTTTAGTAAATGATTTAAAACTTCACAGGTTCTCAATTTTTTAAAAATCAAGATAGGAACTTCTTTAAATATTGTCTGTAAATTGAAAAAAGCACATTATTTTGAAATTACACTAAAATTATACCACTATGAAAACTTCAATATAATAATCTCCAAACAATAACAAATGAAAATTTTGTTCTTGTATTTAAACTTTACAAAAAATACAATACAATTAAATTCCTCTCAATATTACTTTAAAAATGACTCAGATGAAGATTATTATGAAACATAATTTTGAAATTGCAATAAAAATCAAGTTAGAAACAAGAGTATACCTATTAGGTAACTGTCATTCCTACAGTTTTCTGTTTTTCTTTTACAGTTCTGGTCTGTCTGATTGACTGTTTCTTCTCCCATGTTGGCTTCTTTTCTCAGACTTTTTTTAGCATTTGCAAGATGTTGCACAATCCCTCAGGTTTCTTCTTTCTTCCGGGTTTCTTGTTGCTCTTTTTGGCATTTAACCTCAAAGTACTTTGTGTACCATGTGCGAGCACATCTGATTGATTGCACTGGTAACATGCTTTTATCATTTACAACAGAATCAAGTCCTCTAGCATCTTAACCTGTAACTAAGGGCTTGTCTAGATGAGCCATTTATTTATTGTGCAAAATTTTGTGGTGTCTTTTCAGGGTGTCACCAACCTCTAGAGCATCTTGTGAGTTTTCCAGCTTTTTGTGGTTTTAATTTCTTTTAGAGTAAGGAAAGTCTGATATTAAATTTTAAATCGCAACAAACTGGAACAAAAGCTTCATGTGTTTCAAGAAATCCATTATCCTGCAGCCAAACCACATCATCATCTTGTGCTGGTTAGTGTGTGTGTGTGTGTGTGTGTGTAGAATAGAAATATAAACCCCAGAGGGGAAAACATGTAAAAGATGCATTTTTCTTCCCACAATGAAAACAGAACATTTAATTCAGTAAAGCAGTGAGTTAAACACCTCATGTACATGCTTTGTACATGTACGGATTATTTTGTAAGCTGTCCTGAGCGCTTGAAGCGACAGGATGCGGTATGAATGCATGTAATAATGATGCTGCTGATGCTGTATCAGCACTGACTTATTAACAGGGTAAGGCACATTCCATAGGTCTGAGAATGTCTTGTTGACCATCAAAATACCACTGTAAAGTGTACAGTCCAACATCATCATCTTGCTTTGCTACATGTGTTTGAAACTGAGTCTTATATTCATTGTGGGCAGCTGTGGTCAAAACAGTGCATTGTTACTTTGATGTTTCTGCTGTTCTGTCATTGATTCAATTGCTTACATGTAGATGTTACAGTACAGTTTTATTCTGATGATTCCAATACTTAGTTTGTATATAATGATAACAGAATCCAATGCTGATAAGCCATGAACCATCTTGAATGTCAAAGACTTTTCTCAGCCAGTGTGGTGTAGTGGTTAAGAGCACGGGACTGGGACTCAGAGGATCTGGGTTCTAGTCCCCACTCAGCCATGGAGCCAACTGGGTAACTTTGGGCCAGTCACAGACTCTCAGCCCAACCTACCTCACAGGGTTGTTGTTGTGAGGAGAAGAAGATGGAGGAGGAGATGTAAGCTGCCTTGAGCCCTTTGTAGGAAAAAGGCAGGATATAAATCGAAAAATAATAAAAAAAAAATTTTCAGGAACTCATATAACCATCTTTTTACATTTTTGGTAAAGCTCAATCATTTGATGTCAATGTAGTTTAATTTCTTTCAAGAGCTTCTTTCTTGCAAAGCCAGTTTTGATCATTATTTTGTCAAGCAACTCCTCAGATAATTTCATGCCAGCGGTTAAAGACTGGAATCCAGATGATAATTCTTGCAGTTTTTCTGATTCTGTGATACCTACCTAAATGCAGAATCTTTGAACAGATAATACATGTTGTACAAGACTGAATGTATGACCCATTTCACTGTACATAATACTGTTCTTAGAGTCCTATGCACAACACAAAGGCTATATGTTCCAGTGGCAATTCCTTTTCTTTTTTTCCCAGACATGATTAATTGTCATTTCAGTTTATCAGTTAATTTTCTGTCAGGTTTTTTTTCAGAAGAAGGTGATTTACATTTGCCCCATTCAAAAATAGTTGCAGTTATTTCTTAAGTGGTAAAGAAGACATGCCTTCTAAAAATTTCTAAAGAGGTCTTTGACAGTAGCAGTTTGAAGAAAAGTTCTGGTCAAGCACCATGTGGAAACTTTTTGACCATTTTCATCACAAAAATGAACCATTCAATCCATTTGAACCTTCTGAATTTCCTTATTCAGAGCTTCATCAAAACAGATACCAAACCACTGGCGTTGCTTCAGTAAAAGGTCAGAGTAATGTGGAGCCAAGCCAAGCACTACAGCATACATTGCTTCTGTTTTTTCAAGATGAAACGGTGGAGCTATTTGGCTATCTGAGAACTTTTGCTTGAATAACTCATTGATTCTCTTGCAAGACTTAAATGACATCCTCCTTACTGTAAGTTGCAATGCCCACAGGCACCCTGCTGTCATAATGTAATCTTTGATTACCTAGGAAGCCATACTGGCTTGTAAGGCAGGTCATTCTTCCCACTTTTCATCAACCTGAACTTGTTTTTCAGTGGTTCTGTATTCCCCCTTTGTGTTTTTACTACTTGCACTTGTACTTGACTTTGAACCAAAACATATTGCGATAGATTGGACTTGATTTCATGTTCTGGGTCCTTGTATATGTGACTTCACAGCTCTAATTTCCATATTACTTAGTTCAAAAGTTTTGTAGCCTACTTCACAAATAATCTTTGCATCTTGTAATGTCATCATGGATTTTTTAAAACTGATATTCTTGCAGAACTATTTCACAGGATGGCAGATCTGGGAAAATGTTTGATGAGTGAGCTTTCAATTGGAATTGTTTCGTCTGCATTTTGCTGCACCACTGAGACCTTGGAAAGGTCCTTGCAGGGAAGATGCCAGTCTTGTCCCTAGCTGACCATTTAAGCCTAGGAGAGCCTGCCAATACTTGGATGCTGGAAAGAACGAACAGCTTGTTGCCTGCTTTTCAGGCTGGGGAGATTGGAGCCATTTTGCTTACCTGCACTGCTGCCCTCTTCCACCTTGCTGACAAAGATACCCAGGCCATGCTCTGAGCCCCCACGCACACTGAAGCCCAGCTTCCCGTCTGCACTCTTTTCCACTGTAATGGCATGGATGGCATCGCTCTCATCGCTGTTAGCTGTGATGGGGATACAGCATGATACATCACTATGAAGGTGTGCAACTAGTAACATTGTGCTAGGATGACTGGTCAAATGAGACCCCCATTTCCCACCCTATATACAGTCTTAGGTCCCTGGGAGAGTCAGAGAACTGCAGGAGCCACTTTCCTGCACTGTACAGACCAAGCTCTCTTCCCAGACTTGTGACAGATACAGACATAGCATATGACAAAGTTCTTGAGGGGTTACTGCCTAGGGGAACATGGGAACTTTTGCTAAACCATGTCCAGTGGTTTCATGGCCAGTCTAGCTGATGGGCTGGAAAAGGGTCAATGGATGCAGAACAAGGACAACTATTTTGCTACACCAACTTCACAAGCCTTTTGCTACACAGTTCAACCTACCCATCCTCCCCTGCTCTCAGAAATGTCTCTAGAATAACAACACAGAGAAAGCAATTTGTGGCAGAGCTCACTTATTGAAAGCAAAGGCAAGGGGCAGGGAGAAAGAAGAAACCGATTTCATGCACAGGAAAACTACAACAGGCTTTTAAAGCCTTACTTGGATTTGGACCATGGTCAACCACAAACTACACAGATTCTGTGATCAACATTGACGTCCTTCCTTTGAGCACCAGCTTCAAGGGAGGCTTGTACAAGAGCAGCAAAGCTGAGCGGCTTCTCCGTGGTGGTCTTCCCACTGAGGCTCACATGGCATTATGCTCATCATCCTTCTGGCACCAGGTTAGGGCTCAGGTTAATACAGTCCTCTGTGCTGAGACATTTAAAGATGGGCTCTCGAATGGTTGGATGGGTTATTTATACCTTGCTTCTGACCAGATGTCCATAGGATTGTGCTACATATCCCAGAATTTAAGAGCACATAGAACATGTGGGACACACAAGCAAATAAGCAATGCCAATGTGTATTTTATCATGATGATGATGATGATGATGACGGCATTTTAAGTTACTGCGGCCCCATTCGTTAAAAAGAATGTCTATTAAGGATGGAATCTGCCTACCTCATGCACGACACACACATCTATAAGGATTAATGAATTTGCCAATTCCACACATTTTTACACAATATACCTGCCCAGACTTAAATGCATCCCCCTATTACTTGTTTCTTCAGTTGCAAGCTCATGGAAAGACTTGAAAATGAATTAAGTGGACTATGGTGGGGACTGATTTTCTTTTTAGAAAGAAATATTTTTTGCTGAAGGAATGACTCAGCACTGCAGGAAAATGACCTCCTATCCTCTCAGAAATGAACAAAGGAGATGAGCAACCACTACCCAGCAAGAATGGATATTCATCAGGGCTGTGAGCAGACCACTCCCTGAGCAAGCTGATGAACTGATTGACCAACAGATTTTCTCTGTGCACGAACAATCATAAATCACAGCAGTAACTTTGGCAGAGACGCAGCTCGGAGAAATGCCAGCTGTGCCCTACAATCTCCCCAGTTCATCCCAACAGTGCCATACCTTCAAGAGGTGTATTGATGAGGATGACTCTTCCCATGGGGGAGGAGGTGCGGAAGCCTTGGTAGTTCCCATTTACCAGCCGGTTCTGCCTGCTCAGCAGGAGATGGTTAGCAGTGCTGATGTCGCTGCTGGAACGCCGGGAGAGTGTGGGGTAAATAATTCCCTTCTCAAATGGGTAAGGAGCCTGTGCCATGGCAGGACCGAACACGGGCTGTGCATGGGGAAACTGACACGGGAGGATGACGTCTACGGATGGTCTGAAGAATTGCCCTGTGTTCTGGTCTGGAAGTCCAATTCCTTCAGTGACATTGGGGTAGTTGTTACATTTTGGCCCCTTAGGTTGCTTCCCACCAGCGGAAACAGTTGTTGGACATATTCCAGTGAATCATAATACTTTTGCTTGCGGACTCATTTTGTTGATGATGCTACCACTGAGGTTTGCCTCAGGAATAATAATCTGTATGCCTAAAGTGCAGAATCCAATCTCTTCCTTCTCATAGGTCCAGGTCCATGCTTCTTCTCTTACCTCCAGACAGGTCTGCTATATTAGCACAAGAGCTACAACAGCAACAAATAACATTAAGAAAATTATGGCCTTTAGTCAGCTATAGGCTGGAGTTGCATGCACACCAACTTGGAAGTAATTCCCACTGAATCAAGTGGGGCATACGTCTAAGGAAATACATTTCGTATTACTATTTTAGGCTGTTATGGTTGATGAATTTCTTCTAGGTTAATGGTACAACAGAAGAATTTACTTCTGCTCCATGGCATTCCAGAAGCCCCCTTTGTAAGGGAACCTATCCTTAGTCACCCTACTAGTTAAGAATGTTGAGGACAAACACAACCTTCTACAGTTCACGTTTCCATTCACAATGTTGAGAAAATGCAATAAAATAAAAGAGATGTGACTGTTAAAATGCTCAGCATTACTAGATATCAACTGCCATGCAATGCAGAGGGTTTCCTCTATGATGCTAGGAGTCTAATGCTAATTTGGTAGTTTTAGATGGAGGGTATTTTATATTTTAAATGCAACCCTATATATAGTGGCTGGTTGAGGAATCCTGGAATTTGTAGGACTTCTTTGTCTAAATATGCCCTTAATGTCTTAAGAAATATGGTAGATGAATAATTTTTTGTACTGTTAAAAGAAAGCATGTTGCCACTAGACAAGATGATGGGCAGAACAATTTTGAAGTGTCAGGGCTATTATGTGCCAGGAGTTTATACAGTATAAAGAGCAGGAAAAATTATGTTATTTACCTATTAATAAAATTGACTTAGCTGTGCAGAAATGGACAGATTGACTCTATTACTGAAGGAGAAAGAAGATACTGACTTCTATCAAACTTGGGACCTTTTTTATGATTGGCTGGAGAAACGGGACTTGGCTTAGATTTAAAGATGTTTTTAAATTTTTATAAATTGATTTGAATTTGATTATAGAATGTTATAAGGGGCTGACCCAGTACATCTGATGTATTTAATGATTGATATTTTTAGGTTTTAGTTTAAAAATTTTAATAAAAATCTTTATAAAAATGACTTAGCAAAATGGAGAAAATTAAAATGAGAGGGGGAGAATGGTCAGATTATTTCATTTCCGGTGTTAGTATGATTATGCATTAGGGCATTTAATCTTGAAGCATCTGTTATTTTCAGTTGTGTATCTACTGGTTCATGAACTGCAATTTCAATCAAGTCTTACTGACTTCAGTGAAATAGAATATACAGCTGTTCAGCTGAGAGCAGAATTTATTTCTAAGTTGATTCTAGTTAATTTCTCAAGAATTTTCTTAGAATGACTTTGTGTCTACAATATTTGACTGTGATCAATGCCAAACAGAAGAGCTGTTCATATGGTAAGGAAAGCATACTTTTCTATGCTTTAGCTGTGCCTATTGAAGGCATGTCATGAATGGAGCCGCCTGGAGCTGGGGGTCAGACTAGATGCCCAGAAGTCCCCTTCTGACTCACTCTGCTTCTATGTTTCTATCCTACCTTTTTGATTTGGGAATGCTATTTCAAGAAATGGGCAGACATCAGGAATATATTTTAAAATATTATACTGAATTGTGCAAGAAATTAAGACTGTGATGCAGCCAAAATAAAGCATTTCAGAGCTTAAGGCTACAATCAGCAATCCACAGTCATCATCTAAGGCAGTGGTGGAGAACCTATGGCATGTGTGCCACAGTGGGCACTCAGAGCCCTCTCTGGCGGAACGCAAAGCCAGTCACCCCAGCATCATCCCAGCACCCGAGCATCGGATAACAGCGCACATAGGGGCCACGCGCATGCTCGGAAAGGAGTAGTGGTGCCAGGTGATGACATCACAAGCCACGACACATTAGTCGCAACTCGTCTGAGATTTCGCATGGCTGGTCAGTGCGCTACCAAGGATATATATATTTGCTTGGACTTGCTGTTTTCAGGTTTTATTGCAGCATTGGAACTTTGTGATAAATAAGTGGGTTTTGGGTTGCAGTTTGGGCACTTGGTCTCTAAAAGGTTCACCATCATTGAGTTACGGGTAAAAAAACAAGGTGTCCTGGCATGATTTTGATGGTTGGAATGTGCTTAGAATGGGCAGAAATGATGAGCTGTGCAGAAAAAGCTATTCGGGGAAGTCTTTTTCAAAATCGCCCTCTTTTCAATGGAACTTTCACCCTATATTAGGGTTAGGGGTGTGCACCAGAGTAAGGTTAGGGTTAGCAAAATGAGGTGTCCTGACATGATTTTGATGGTTGGAATGTGTTTAGAATGGGGAGAAATGATGAGCTGTGCGGAAGACACTACTCAAGGAAGGCTTTTTCAAAATCGCCCCTTTCAATGGTATTTTAACCCTTTATTAGGGTTAGGGGAGTGCACCAGGCTAGGGTTAGGCCAGTGGCGATGAACCTATGGCACGTGTGCCACAGCGAACACACAGAGCCCTCTCTGTTGGCATGCGAACCTAGTCGCCCCAGCATCGCCCCAGCAGCCGAGCATTGGATAACAGCGCACATAGGGGCCATGCGCATGCTTGGAAAGGAGTAGCAGTGCCAGGCAATGATATCACGTGCTGTGACTCGTAGCCGAGACTCATCCGAGGTTCTGCATGGCTGGTCAGTGTGCTGCCAAGGATATACATATATTTGCTTGGACTGACTGTTAGTTGTTTTTTCTAAACTAAAACCTCAGTTTTCAGGTTGGCACTTTGCAATAAATAAGTGGGTTTTGGGTTGCTGTTTGGGCACTCGGTCTGTAAAAGGTTCGCCATCACTGATCTACGGCCTTGCTCCAGGTCTCTCCTTCAAGGGCAGCTCAGTGTGTGGCAACGAAGAAGAGGGTTCTTGGAAATGGCCTCCATTTAATGCATAATCTCCCCAGTGAGGCTCACCTGACACCTGGCATTAACTTTTTGGCTCCAGGTTAAGCCCTTATACTTCTCTCAGGTATTTGGCAGCATATGATGAGGTTTTAATCAGGTCCTAAATGTTTTGCATTGTTGAGTGCAAAAATGGTTTTGAATATATTTGCCTCTTTGTTTCTGCTGTGAATTCATATGTTTGAATGTATATGATTTTATAATGTATTTTTAATGTTCTAGTCTTTGTAAACCACCCAGAGAGTTTTGGCTATTGGGCAATATAAGATTTTAATAAATGAAATAATAAATCCTTACATAAATGCAAATAAGGCACAGTAGATTATTCACATATATCACAATAATATATAGAAATATCTGGTTAAAAAAGATAAAGCTTAAGATACAAAATGTTTAATAATTAGCTTTTCCTGTATCTGCAATTGGACTAATGATTACAATGTACAGCTGTGCATTCTTCCCCAGAGATTATTTTAAATAAGAAGATCTACGAATAAATATAACAGGCAAAACTCTCCCACACATCTTCTGGAGACAGTCCACCTACAAAAAGACCAGAATTCTGGGATACATACAGAGGCAACTGGGCACAAAACAGCAAAAGGCTAGAACCTTAACCAAAATAAAACTAACAAAGCTGCAGCACAGAAATCCACTTAGATCATACTCACTCCCTATTTTTAGCATGCTTACTTAAGTGATTCTGGTTTAATATTTGTTCAGCTGGGCTTTACAATACCTGTGCAAAATGACAATGTTCAACTGAATTTCTTCACATTTACACTGGAAATATTGGGTTGTACTCAAGGAGTCTAAGTTATGTTAATTGTCTAATAGGACGAACACTCATCCTATTCCAACTCATAGAGAACAGAATGGGATGAATATATAACTGATTTCAGTGGAAATGTATTCCCTAGTTGAATATCATTCTGCACTGCAGTCTCAGATATATTTTATATTCTTGCTTGTAACTAATCCTGAACATTGTGAAATGTTGTGGTTGGGTGATCTTGGAACATTTTGCAGTGCCTGCCCTGTAGGCTCCAGAATGCACAGGATGCTACCAAACGGTACCCAACAACCAAAGCTTTTACATTCTCAGTAACAATTCTTAATGGCTGTTATACCATAAACGATCTGCCCCTCTTGCTTCTGTAGGGCAGAGCTGACGGGGCTGTGCTATCTGTTCTATCTGAGGAGCTGCAGAACTCTCCCCTTCTGCGATGTCATCAGCCAAGGCAGGGGAATCGAGGGGGTACTTTCCAGGATATTCCGCATCAATGGAACAGCAGCCTCGTCGTCTCCCCTCCCGCTCCCCTCCAAGGCAGCCTCCTCGCCTGCCTGTTAGCTGGAATGCAGCCTGCTTGCCGAGTGCCCTGACCTTAATAAATAAGTGATGTCATCGCTTCCATTAGCGACCCAGCAAGGGGAACTTACAAACACCTGTGGAAGAGGCCAAGACACGGAGCATGCTTTGCTCTGATACTAGGCCAGTAGTGGGCGACTTGCCTCAACTGTCCCTTCGGCGGTTTTTGAAAGAAGGCGGCAGGAATTTTCAGTACCTTGGACAGATGCTACGAAACCACCTGATTAAATTGCATTCTACTAACTGCAGGTAAACCTCTCCTTCCCTCGCGCCCTTGTTAAAGGTGCAGTTCTCGCCGACGTGGCACCAAAGAATCCACAGACAGTTAAGAAGCAAAAAGGGAAGAATGGATCCCTAAAGAGTCCCGAATAATCCCTATTTCGTCTACCCATTCCAAGCTCCCTTACCTGCCTCCATGTTGCTCTGCAAACTTCCTCACCTGGGACAGACACACACTTGAGCCTGCGAACCTGGTGTCTGCCGGTGGCACCTCCCACCTTGTCACATGGATTGGCTGGTCAAACCAGGAACAAGGACCCTCATAGGATAGAACATCGGTCAGTTATCCCCCGTGCTTCCTTAATGACTCTGTTGCAGACAGACGGGAAACAGCCCAGAAAGTGAGTGATGGGTATAGAAATTCCAACAAGCAGAAAGAATAAGAGCAGCTCAGAGACAGGTAAGCTTAAAGGAGCATTTGCCTTTAAACAAGGATGCGATGCCTAAGTATGTATGTACTGAGAGCATGGTGCTAATGGGTGGTCTTTAAACAAATTCAATTCATAAATAAAACAAATCATGTATCAAATTGTGCAGCTAATGGTACACAAAAGGTATATTTGTTCATCATCTGAACTGATTTTTCATATAGCAAAATACCTCACTGGGAATATTTTCCAGTTTTTGACAATCCTGTGGACTTTGTATCCTGTTCTTACATCTTTATGAAAATAAAAATAAACAGGAACCTATATTTTTGCAACAAACGGGGGAAGGTATGTATGTTGGGTACATTGTTGGAAATTGTTTGCTTTTTATTATATCATCTAATTGCTAGTCCTAAACATACCTGTTGCACCTAGCTTTTGAAAAGCCTTTGTAGATAAGATTTGATTAGAAATAATTTACTTTATAAAAGAGAAGCCAAATCATTGGTGGGGATACATGGTTTGTTAAATCTAGGTTTAAAGCCAGAATCCTAAGTTCAATGACATATTGCTTATTAGTAATAATATTTATGCCCAGTGGAATTTTACAGTTAATATGATAGCACTAAAATTTCTTGAATCTCTGATAAGCATATAATATTCTTTATGACTCATGGTAAGAAAGGAGACTAGGTGGAAGGTCAATGACCCAGATGGCTTGCTGGCAAATCTTATCGCTATGGACGCCAAATTCCTCCTTTACCTCTGTTTTGATATCTTGGGGTCAGGCAGTTCCCCTCTGAGGGGCAGGTTTAACTCTGACAATCCCAGTTACTGACCACTACCATGAAGAGCCAGCATAGTATTACAGTTAGAGCAGCCTTCTGATTCCCTACAAATGTTTTAGAGGAAAGCTCCTAAAAGCCCCAGCCAACATGACCAATTGTTAGGGATGATAGGCATTGTAGTCCAAAACATCTGAAGAGCACCAGGTTGCGGAAAGCTAGGTCAGAGTATTGGGAAAACACTGGACAGACCCTACTCTGCATGAAGCTCACTTGGTGATTCTGGGCCAGATTTGTCTACATGGCAAGGTTATGGTGTAGATAAAGGGGGGGGGGGGGGGGGCTTGAATTGACCCTGAGCTCTTGTAGTGAGGGTCAGATTAAAATGTCATACATAAAACTGCTCAGGAAGGGAATCAATGATGAATGGAAGCAATTCTCTTCCAAAAGAAAATCAACTCCAAAAAGGGCACCTAAGATTATTCCCTATTCATTCGCAGATTAAGAGGATCTGCATACTAAAAATGGATGCAGGTTTTTACAGATGTAAACCCCACTGTGTGCAATCAAGAAGACTGAAGATTTAATGATTTGCCTCAGAGAGGATCATAAAATCCTTCTATAGAGGAAAATTCAAAGCGATAATGTTGGGATTAACTCGCTGTCTTTGGAAGATTTTAGAGGACCAGTGGCAAATTTGGGAATGAGGCAGAAGAAAGCTGCTGGCTCCAGAAAGTACAGGCAGCAAAAAAGGAGAGAGAAGAAGACTGAAGGAACTCTATCAGTAACACACCAAGTAAGGAATTATGTTCCCACTGAGGCCTGCCTGGCACCAACTTTACATTCTTCCCAGTGCCAGCTTAAAACTATCCTCTTTGTTGAGGCACTTACCAACTCCAAATAGAACATGGAGTTGCTAGATGTTTTTCAGCAGGTAGTATGAATTGGCTTTAGCTGTTCAGTTGTTATAAATATTGTTTTAATTTGTTCAATGCAATTTTATAATGTTTCATTGTTTCATCCTAAATTGTAAAAATTATTGTATTTATTACTGTTGCTTTGGCAGTGGTACAGAGAACAAACAGATATCAGACACCCTAGTGACGGTCTGCACTTGATCCATATAGACACTGAAGCTTGTATAGGAAGAAGGGTGGACATAAAATCACTCTGGGAGAATCTGACTTGGGCAGCATTTTTTGTGCTGATATAAGCACCATGGTGAAATGCATATGATAACTAAACTCTGACACTCACATTGGTTTTACCGTAAGTAGAATTACACCAGCCAAACCAGTGCATACACGACAAGTTTAGTTGTGTGAGGAGTTTCAATGAGCTTATCATCCTAATTATTGTAGATCCCCAACTTCTTTGAAAGTAGGGATCATTTGAATGGAGATGTGTTCAGCCTCCAACCATTCCTGGCTCAGTTGCAGGTAGAGATGCTGCTTTCAAGCACACCCAGACAGCACCAGCTTCCTATGCTACTGCTGCAGCATCATAGCCCCAAAAGGAAAGCAAAAGTAGGTTCCTGAGAACGTGTTGGCATCTCTTCTTCTGAATTGTTTCAGCGGATAATCTTGGTTCTGGATTTTTGAGAGAAATCAGCAGGGTAGCATATGCTAGCTTGACCACCTACTGTATACCTGGGGTTGTGATCCTGAGGTCCGACTCCCTATCTCCACAGGATGAAATTGTGAAGGCATTGAGTTAGAGTGGGAATTGGACACCTTGGACACCCTCCACTTTCTTAAAATATCCAGTGCCAAGAGCACCTATTTTGCCAGGACCTCTCTGGCCTGTGGAGGTTGAGTGTCCAGCCTGAAGCACCACATGGAGCTGTCCAGGGTGCTGAATCCTGAACGCACTGCTTTGTTTTAACTTGCCTTGCTTGCCTTACCACAGAGGTGCAGAACCTCCATCCCAAAGCCCAAACCAAGCCTTCCTTGGAAGCTGGTCTGATGCTTCAGAGTTTCCCAGGTGGCCACACATTGCTTGGCCCATCCACAAATCTTTTAGTGGTTTCATGTTTTTTGCATTTTTTCTTCCTTACTCTAAAAGGTTGAAATCCTAATGCTTCGTTACCAAAAGAGGGAGCTTTAAGGTAAGATATACTGGCATTTATGGCCCACTCTCTTTTCCTTTGGTGATGCCCACCACTGGAAAGTGATTCTTGAAAGCTTATTTGAAAATGGAATTCAGCCCTCAGGCTGAAAGTGCATCTTGCATTCTTGCTTTACCAAAATCTGGAAACTTTTGCTTTAAGCCCTCACTTGGGGCAGAACTGCATACTACTGATACCTTCACATGGAAGAGAACAGCACAGGACAAAGCGAGAACAGCTCCCAAAACCTTCCACGGCAATGCAGCAGATTCTAGTAGATGTTCTAACTCTGTGCAGAGCCCAAACAGGCCAGATTACATGAAGGGATGCTTGTTTTTCATAGGAAGGAATGGGATTCTTTCTTAATTAAAAATACAGCATTCCATAGATAAATGCAACCCAATGAAATAAACAATTGTTAGAGGTGTGCAGATCTAGGCAGATCTCATAAAAGACCATGGAGCTGGGGGTGGTGGAGGAGAAATACACACAGCATTTATTGTGTGTATTTATTGACTTCTTAGCAACATGTAATAAAAAACAGTCACTGAATGGGGTGAAAGTGATGAGTCTAGAATACATTATCTTGGTGTCAGAGGCAATATTTGATAGTAATAAAAACAAATTAGTTCAGTAGGTCTCACTTCTTGACATTGGTGTGTGTGTGTGTGTGTGTGTGTGTGTGTGTGTGTGTGTGTGTGTGTGTAGAACTTCCCTTATAATAGGGTTCTTGGAACACAAGTCTGTGGGCCAAAGTTAGCCTGCCTGGCAGCATCCCAGTCTAGCCCTCTGTGTTCCAAGCTAGCCATGTTTCTTCCTCTTTTCCTCAGTCATCAATTGTTTTGTTTTCCAGCATTTGCATGGTTCTTCTCTATTCTAGAAGACTGCCATGCCTCCCCTAAGGCTTATTTACCATCAGTAAGAGCTACAAGGGGCTGCAGGTGGCGCAGTGGTTTAAACCGCTGTGCTGCTGGGATGGTTGATCTAAAGGTCGCTGGTTCAAATCTGCACAACAGGGTGAGTTCCTGTTGCTCCGTCCCAGCTCCTGCCAACCTTGCAGTTTGAAAGCATGCAAATGCAAGTAGATAAAAAGGTGCCACTTTGGTGGGAAAGTAACAGCATTCTGTGCACGTCAGTGTTTAGTCATGCCGGCCACATGACCACAGAGACTGTCTGCAGACAAATGCTGGCTCCCTCGGCTAGGAAACAGAGATGAGCACCGCCCCCTAGAGTCAGGCATGACTGGACTTAATGTCAAGGGGAAACCGTTACCTTTACCTTTTTAAGAGCTACAAGCTAAAATATGCTGGCATTTTTGGTATTTTGGGCCTAACTTTTTGCCTTTTTGCCTACCCACCATTGGAATGTAGCTCCCAAGAACTTCTCTGAAATGGTGTTTGACCCTTGGGCTGAAAGAGCTTGCTCATCTCTGTTATGAAGTCATTGACTGGGGAAGCTGAGGAACTAATAACCTTTGGGGGAACCCCCCCCCCCAACTTTAAGGACAGTGTGTCTTTAGTTTTCCAGAATGTGTACTGGTTAGCAATACATGAACTATTCATCAGGTACATGCATTACTTCATTTTCTTAGAAGTGAAACTGCCAGCAGAAGCATTACGGTTCTTTGATTTAACATTTCCTTGGTTGAACAGCAGGGACACAGGCTACTGCACTGTAAAGAGCAGCTCCTTTTGCTTCCCCGCGCATGTCCATTACGTTACTCTCACGATGAAGTTATGGGGCAGTAGCTGTCCCAAGATGATGGTGCTCATTCAGCAGGTCTTGCAGTAGACTTCAAAGAGGCTGGCCACAGAGTGCATGCGGTAAAAGATGCCCAGTGGCAGCGAGATCTTGACCACAATGGCCCAGAGTGTGAAGCCATAGAAGGACTGTTCAATTTGGCTCACCAGGTGTGGGCGGGTCCCATAGGCATACAGAATCCACACCTAATCAAACCAAGCAGACAGGGAAAGGCATCAAACATTTGAGCTATTTTCTCAAGTACTCATTTGCCTAGAGCTGCCTTATATTTTGAAGTTTCTGCTGTGCTTTAAGGGAAGGATACACTCCCTTTTTTCTTTGTGGTGACCACCATAACTTACAAAAGCAATTCTCTGTCTAAAAACACGTGATCAATGCACACGCAGGAACTCTAAGGGTCTGCTATGGGACACACATGCTTTCAGACATCTTTCCTGACATGTTATAATATTAACTGAAGTCATGTGATAGCCAACAGGAAATTCTTATTTTACATACCTTGTAAAATGGCCCATAGTTCTATTATTTTATACGTCCACAAAGGAAATGGAGAGCTACTTGGATCAGAATGCACAACTAACTTTGATGGGGTGCCCTTCTCAAGGATATGAACAGCAATCAGCACTGACCTTTGAGTCAGTCTACCTATTCATAAAAACACTACCACCCATGCTGCTGTTATCCTTAGCCTGTTGTACCTTGCAGGTGATGGACCTGTAGATCTTTTCCCATGCCACCAGTATGCACCTAACCTCCCTGCCCCAAGAAGGTCAGCTAAGAACCTTGCCTCCCTGCATACTAGGTTTCCAGGGAAACATTTTAAAGAGCACTGAGACTTTCAGTTAACCAATTTGTTCTTCTGCATTCTGGATTCACACAAGACAGTTGTATCATGTGCCTTTTGAGGTGTAGATTGGCCATGCTGTTGACTGGAAAGCTATTTTTCTTAGCTCAAATTACATTGCCCAAAACACCCAGCTTTCCAAGCAATGTCAAAGCTTTTCAGCTATGCTACTTGGAAATGGTTTGCAAATGTAATTTCTTAAGGTCCTGAAATCCTGGTGATACATTTTGGATTCTGTGAGACCAGCACATGAAGAACAGAGTAAACCTTTTATGCATCTACTCTGGACCAAAACAGTCTTCTGTTGTAAAGTTGGCGAATGAAGAGCTGCGGTTGCCATCCTAAACTTGCATTTTTCTCCCATTCCATTAATTTGAACCTAGTTGTCATAACCAGCGACAGACACACGCGCTGGTAACTTCCCGATTAGATTTTTGTAACGTGCTCTACGTGGGGCTACCCTTGAAGACGGTCCGGATACTTCAATTGGTACAGAATAGAGCTGCCAGGTTGCTGACGGGGACTGGGCGTTGTTCTCATATAACCCCAGTTCTCCGTCAGCTCCACTGGCTCCTGATTGAAGTCCGGGCCCAATTCAAGGTGTTGGTTATGACCTATAAAGCCCTAAACAGCTTGGGACCTGCATATCTAAAGGAACACCTGCACCCATGTATGCCCTCCCACCCCTTGAGATCAGCAACGGATGCCCTTTTCCGGGAACCCTCTGTGAATGATATTAGGAGGGTGAGTACCCGGAGGAGGGTCTTCTCTGCGGTGGTGCCCCATCTATGGAATGCGCTCCCCAGAGAGGTCCGCCTGGTGCCGTTATTATTTGTTTTTCGGCACCAGGCTAAGACCTTTTTATTTAAAACTTATTTTAATTGCTAAATTATTGAATTAACTAGGATTTTAAAATTAGCCGAGAATACACTGGGGGTTTTTAAATGTTTTTTCTTTTAAATTGTTATATTACTATTATTTATGTATGTTTTTATGTATTCTTTGTGAGCCGCCCCGAGGCTTTGTTGCGATGGGGGCGGCATAGAAATGTTTTAAACAAACAAACAAACAAACAAACAAACGGATGCTGGAGGTAAACCTGCTTCTTAGCTATACATTTCAGATTGTAGGTGAGGACTCACAAGCTTGAATGGTCCCACAAACAAAAATGGTTTTCTGCATGTAAAAGATGGGGGAGATAGGTTCTTGCTTAGCCTTCTCCCTGACTTTCTAGTCCTCTAGGTTCAGCTTCTCTTGATAAGTAGAAGCTTTCAGTCATGAGCCCCTAACCAACAGGTGGAAGCTGTTCACAGCCCAGAAACAAGATTACCACCTTGTCTGCTGTTTGTGAGAACTAAATCCCAGTGATGAGTTCATGTGAGTAAACGTGTTTGAAATGAGCTGTTGCATAGGAACACTCAACTAAATCATTGTTTGTATTATTTCACAGCCTCTATTTGAAGCCAGAAAACAAAACTAAATAAAAACAAGGGGAAAATCTTTAGATAAAATTGTGAACTAATACGCCACTAACTAGAATCAAGAAAGAAACATATGATGCCAGCAAAACTTGTCTTAGGATGCAATCCTATGCATATTTAGGCACTAAAAAGCCCTACAACCACCACTGTTTCTAAACTACATGGGGAATCCTGAGGAGTTGTAGGATTTTTCTGTGTTCTCAAGATGGATTGGGTTAGACTAGACCCATAGAAGTCCATGGGACTTATCTTTATTTATTTATTTATTTATTTATTTGGAATTTTTGTATGCTGTCCCATTCTCATGAGCCTCGGGATGGCTTCCAACACAATAAACAATCTTTAGTCATGATTGACTTGCGTCTCACTGATTTTAGTAGATATGGTTTAAGTATGGTTGAGTTTGGATCCAACCCTTATTCTCCAAAGGTATCAAACACATTTTATGAAAGGATGCGGATGTTCAAATAACTTTTAAGTGCAATTGTGCATGGCGCCTTACTGGTACTGATTCTCTTTTGCCCTCTGCTGGTCATCTATATTCTCTTACTTGGAACATACCAAGAATGACTTGATATGTTTGTGACTGCAAATAATATCAGGTGAGCAACGGTGTCCGCTAATTTTTCCCCTTCGTACGAGGATGTGCTTTCCCTTCCTGTCTGGGTGTGGCAACAGCCTCACCTCGCTTCATCCTGAGCTCTGAAAACCAACAATAGAGATTCAGTCACATTAATTTAAGGTAGGGATCCCCAATCTTTTCGGTCAATTGACACATTTGGAATGTTGACAGGAGGTTGTGGGTGCTCTCACAAAATGGAGGCTATGGAGGGGCTGGGCTGGGCTTATGGTTGGCATGACTGATCACAAAACACTCACTTCCTGAGGACAAGCTGATGGGACTAAAAGAAAAGGAACTTGCCAAAGAACGTAAGTACAAATCTTAGGTAGGCACAGAGCTCCAGAACATTAAATTGTTCTACTGATCCTAAATAAAGATGGTGCTGGAGGGTGGCATTTTACAGAGTGTCAGTCTCACAATTAATAATTAAAATATTAAGAAATAAAATAAAGATCTGGAAGGGCGAGAAACCTGGGTGGGCACCAAAAGAGGTGTCTGTGGTCACAGTTGTAAAGTGCAGTTTATGAGATATATTGGAAAAAGAAAAAAGTTCCTTGGTTAATAATTTGGTATATCAAACTGTGGGATTTGCTAATGATAAACAACAACAACATCTCATGTATTGAGTTCACCCACAAAGAGTTAAGAAAAATAAATCTGAAGAAGAAAGAAAGGGAAGTTGTTTCGAATGCTAGACTGCTCTTAGGAGTAACTTCTTTCCTTTACTATGAGATATTGATTATGGGATTTGATAATATACATCTTATTACTACTGTCCTGTATTTGTAGGCTATAATATTGCAGTAAGAATGAATGAACAGGTCTTAGAACTTCCTCTAGGACACTCTTCCCTGAATTCATGAGAATGGAATCTATTTTCTTTTCAGATTTTGCTGGCACCTTGATCTGGTTAAATGAACTCAGCTTACCGAGATGTTGTAGAAGATAAGAAGGATAGATAAGTTCTGTAGGATCTTTCTTCTAATGCTTAGTCTTTTAGATTCTTCTCGGGTGTGAGAACTTTGGAAGGTAGATGAGTCAGTGCCACAGTCTGTCAAGTGTCTGGGTGACTGATTCTCCAAACTGGCCATTATGTTGCTCAGTGTGTGGGTTTTGGAGAAAGGTCCATTGCTGTCCTGCTCCAAGGAACCTCTGGAAATAGAGAAGACCCAGCCAGTGCCAGTAGAGTCAGTACTATCTTGGATGTCTGGCTCCTGAGAGAGGCTGGAGCACAAAGCTTCAGTAATGAATAGATTCTGCCCAAGGATCTGGATGGTCTTGCAGAGGGAGAAGCAGAAGTCCAGAAGGTGGAGGCTGCCATTGGCATGAAGAAAGAAGATGGCCACCAGAGAGAAGATGGATACCATGAGTGGACCACAGGAACTGCCTAGAAGCAAGGTAACATCTAAGTTTCTCACCACGCTTTTGGCAGAAGAGAGCGCTGAAGCTTTTTTCTTCAGTCTGTAGGTGGTGATGCCAATGAAGGTGGCCAAGAACATGGCAGAATATAACACAGAGTTGAAGATATAATATGTCCGAAGGGCTTCAGGAATAGTTTCAGGAGACTTGGCAAGCACTCCAAAAGAGATCATCACCCCAAAGGTTGCTGAAATGGCCAAAGCCCCTAGCACCAGTCCAACAAAAGCCCCGCTCAGGTGGAAGTGTGGCCTGTGAGTCAGCTGAGGCTTCTGGTGATGGGTCTCTCGTCCAGTGTTCTTCCAGATGATGTACAGCATTGTAGAAGAGAAGAGGCTGAACTCAATGTTGAAGGGATGCAGGTAGGCTGCGCCTTCTGAAAAGATGTGGCAAAGACTGGTGGTGCAGACACAGCTGTTGGTGTAGAAGCCATCTGCAGGAGGGGCATGAAAAGCACACTGACGGTCGTGCTTGATTCTGGCGGAACAAGAACACTGCACAGCTCTAGCCTATCCCATTAACTTTAGAGCAGCTTTCTCAACCTGGCACCCTCCAAATGTTTTAGGTTTCACCTTCAGCATTCCTGAGCATTGGCCATATAGACTGGGAGTGAGGGGAGCAGGATTCCAAAGCATCTGCAGGATACCAGGTTGGGGGAAGCCTGTTTTAGACACTGCATATAATTCTCTCCTCTTTTCCCCAGCTAATCAAGCATCCTTCCAAATGGATGTTGGGCAGGAGGAGGCGGCTGCATGACAACTGCTGCTGTAAAACTGCACAGCTAATTTCACACTTCCACTTCTGCGGGATGGGAACTTTTTACACAGAGGACTGGTATAGTGTGAGATCACAGAACCATAGAATAGTAGAATTGGAAGGGGCCAGAGGTCATCCGGTCCAACCCTCTGCTGTTGCAGGACACTAAGTTTCACCATCCCATTTAGCTGTCTTCCCAAACACTTTCTGAATGTCTCCAGTGAGGGAGAGCCCACAACTTCCCCAGGTAATAGGTTCCATTGTTGTACTGCTCTGACAGGGAGGAAATTCTTTCTGGTGTCTAGTCCAAATCTGGTTTCTTTTAACACAAGTCTGTCATTCCATGTTCTGCACTCTGAAATGAACAAAAAGAAATCTTATCCTTCCTCTTTGTGGCTGCCTTTGAGGTATTTGTAGAGTGCTATCATATCTCCCCTCAGTCGTCTCTTCCTAAGGCTGAACATGCCCAGTTCTCTTAATAATTTCTCAAAGAGCTTTGCCTCCAGTCCCTGGATCATCCTTGTCTCCCTCCTTTGTAACCTTTCTAGCTTTTCTGCATCTTTTTAAAACTTGGGTGCCCAGAACTGAGCACAGAACTCCAGGTGAGGTCTGACTAGTGCTGAGTACAGTGGAACTAGTACTTCACGTGCTTTGGAAATAATGCTTCTGTTAACGCAGCCCAAAATAGCATTTGCCCTTTTTTTCAGCACACTGTTGGCTCATATTCAGCTCGTGATCTTCCAGGGTATTTGCTGTTCCACCCAGGCTCGTGTCATCTGCAAATTTAAGGAACTTTACTTGTACTTCCTCATCTAAATCATTAATACATTAATAAATCTCCCCAGTCTGAGAATGTGTCATTGATGAGCAGATGGAATTATACAAGATGGAACAGATAAGGGGTGTGTGTGTGTGTGTGTGTGTGTGTGTGTGTGTGTGTGTGTGGAGCAAGGGTGGAAAATTGGTTCAATCCAGGTAAGAAAGTCAAGTGAAACAGAGTGCTGGAAACACTGGCCACACGCAGGACAAAAATGCGTGTGGACGCCAAAAGGCAGTGGGTTCTTGGCACTGCTGATCTGTATGGTGCAGCAGACTTGGACTGTGTCTCCTCATTATGTACAGCTCAAGACTTTCCCCTGTATTTTGACCAGAAGGAAATCGGGGGTGAACCTCCTTTCCCTAGTGTAAGGGGCTCAGACATAGATGGGATGGTGGAAAGAAACACGTCTACTGGAAAGAAGGCCCTTGGCTTCAATCCATACCATCTGTGAACGTTTAGGACTTGACCAGTCATGCTGTTTGGCAACGATCCAGGCAAGCCATGGAGAGGAACATAGGAAGCTGTTTTAAGTGAGCCTGACTCTAGCTCTGTACTGTCAGCACTAACCAGTAAAAGACCTGCTGGGTTTTGGGCAAGAGCTTTTCCAGCTCTGCCTGGAGATGCTGGGGATTAAATCTGGGACCTTCTGCATTTAAACAAAGGTACTACTTCTACCACTGACCTATGGTCCCTCCCTAAGTAGTTAGACCTCCATTTTTTGATAAACCCTCCCAGGGAAGAAAGGCGGTTTGTACCATGGGAATCCTTGGAGCTTATGCCCTTCTGAGCATCATAGAATTCCTCCAGCTGCTTCATGGATTCATCCAGCACCACACTCATCCACAGGAGCACATTGGTGGCCAGAGTGTGCATCAGCCCAAACCTAGGAGCCGCGGAGAGAAAGGAGGAGTTGCTGAGGATGGGGGAGAGGGGGGTGATTCTGGTTCAAAACTAGCTAGAGGCTCCTCCAGTCCCCAACGCAATGGTGGCCCTTTCCCCAGCCATTTTCATGCCCACTTTATATACTGCCACCTGCTAGTTCTAACAAGGCCACCAACAGCCTATTCCACCTTCCCCTCTGTGGTTGTATCAGGTGGCAGGACTCTTGTGCAAGACGCCTTCCATGGGGCTCCCTCACTCACTGACTCCCCCGTTTTCACTGCCATCACACCAACAAGTAGGCCGTGGCATCTGCTGCCCCTCCTTCTCACCACCACCACCATCGTCTGGGTCAGAACAAGAGGCAGGTGAGCAAAGGTGGCTGTGGGAAGAGGAGGAGCAGGTCCAGGGGGCTCTTGTCAGTGGGTCCTGCTAGGCTCTGGGCCCTGGCAAGTGCACGACCATGCCTACCTTTGAAAGTGGCCCGGGGTTGCCCCATCTGCAAGAACCAGACCTTTCTGAAGTGTAAGCACTCCTTTTGCACAGCAACTTTAACCCACACCTTCTTGTCTCCCTCATGTCACCTGGCCTGTGGCTCATGAACTGCTTTTTGCCAGAGAAAGAATCCACAGTGTATAGAAATGGGACAGTTACTCCACAAATGCAGCTCCCATCCTTTTGAATGGAAGCCTGATGATGTAATGGTACTTCCGTCCCTCTCACAGGTTACAGAGAATTGTACTAACATGAAGCCCGTGCGCATTCCTGGGAATGGATTGGCCTGCCTTTTCTTTTGCATAACTCCATGAAATATCCTTACCTGTTTAGATGCTGGTGTTCCTGGACACAAACCTTCGCATTAAACAGCAGCAATGAAACCTAAGGGAAGAGGAAGGGGAAATCACATCGCCCCTATGAACTGGAGACAAAAGGGAACCTTTATTCAAATCCAATGTTGTGTTCTCTCTCTCACACACACACGGGGGGGGGGGG